TTCTGTAAGGACTTTTTTCTGTGAGCGCATGCTGCTGTTTTGTTATACTTCACTTCCTACTTTCTAGCACTTCCAGTAAGAGGTACTAGTTAAAACTGTAAATCCAGTAATCACAGCTCTTGACCTTCTTACTGAACCTCTACAATCCTGTTTTATTAGGCTGGTATGCCGGCACCAGGTACCAGGAGAGACATCTACAATCAGAAGCACATATTGCAACCTGTGGATAACTCAACTATTTCATTACAAATGGGTACCAACAAAGTAGCTTCACAGAAGGGAATGAGTGTGTATGGGCTTGGACGGCAAGTGTATGACCCCAAGTACTGTGCTGCACCGACAGAACCCGTCATTCATAACGGCAGCCAAGGAACAGGAACTAATGGGTCAGAAATCAGCGATAGCGATTATCAGGCAGAATACCCAGATGACTATCACGGAGAGTACCAAGATGACTATCAAAGAGATTACCATGGTCAGTACAGTGACCAGGGCATTGATTATTAGCTTGGCATTGAAAATTCAGTATTAGTCCATTATTTTATTCAGTAAGAACGAAACTAGCCTTGTGGAATTGTTACTTGTCTTTCCTACACACTACGCTTAATGTACCTAAAGAAATACTGCCTTACATACATTCCTTTTTCCTTTCTCTGCCCTTTCCCTGTCTAGTTGCCTTTAGTGCTGTAACAGTTGTAGTCTACAGCATAAACAATAACTGCATATGAAGTAAAAGGAATACTGTGAAAGGGGGAGTGCTCTTGTACAGCCAGGTTGTTTAATAAGGAGCTATGCATTCTCACAATCTCTACTTAAGTAGGTATTTACATACCATGTTAAGCCTTCATTTTACATATTTACAGCTTTTCTGTTTTCCAGAGGAGATAAAAGAATTTCATGCTTAAAGTTACATGTGGTCTTCGCCAATTAAATTTAAGATATCCCATTAGTGATTTAAATATCATTGCTATGTTTCTAAGGTATTGTTTGCTAATGGTAAGTCCTGCATTAGACATAAGCGTGCATTTGTGATCGTGTATTCATTCCATTATCAACACTGACCAAACTTAGAAATAGTTGTCTTACTAAAAAGGGAGCTTGTACAAAGTCTTGAGCCAACTAAAGTCTCATGATTGATGGTGCATTTACCTTTTGTTGTGCCATAATATATCCATGTAGAAATGCTTTTTTTCTTCCTTGAACTGTATTTATTGCCACACTTCTCAAACTGATCCCAGTGTATTTTTATAAATAAATATTTTTTTCTTAAAGGTATGTAGAAGACCTTGTCTCATTTGTTATGCTACCATTCTTAAAGCTTAGCTGTTAGAAGAATTATTCCCAAATCAGCATCACCTTTGCCTTTGTTAAGGGTAATGTAGAGCTCCTGTCTGGAGCAGTTCGGGTTCATTCTTTTCCATGGGATTTAATCTAACAACGTTGTAAAAATCTCCCAGGAATGAGTGACACTGACTTAATAGGAAAGGAATGTAGCTCCTTCACAGCCGAGTTCACTTCCCTTCTTTGTGACTGTGAGGTTATGAGCAGAGATCCTTAGCTGTTCACTAAATCCCTGCCGTTTTCTCAAGGCCAATGAGGATCTGCACATACTTATCGCTGCCTCTGCTTCAGCCTATAGCCTTGTGCCATCCCTTGGAGAACTCACAACACCCTTGCTTTAGATTACATAAGAGGCACCTGCTCTTTGTTCCTGCTGGCCTGCAATCTGAGTTATTCAGTTACTGATAGCAGAGCTTTATTCCGAAATGGAGGATGATTTCTTCCTCACCATGGAGGGCAGACAGGCTGTACTAATTCACCTGCACTGTTTATAAAAGGAAAAAAGAGCATGTATCAGTGGGGGTCAGTGTTGCAGATTCTAGCTTCTGTAAAAAAAATTAAAGGTATCTGAAAAGTGTTTACTGCAGTTTAAACTTACTGCACTCACATATGAAATGTTTTATACTTGCAAGTTCTGGACTTCTGAAGGATTCTTCCCTCTAGACTAGAAATTGTTTGTTCTTGTTCCATTAGTTTCTTTTATCATTGAGTGTGATGTGGTGATCTGACTTTCAACTGACCTGTTTGTTGTGTAAGTCTTAAGCTTATTTAATTCACAGAATTTAAATTAGAAAGGATCTCTAGAGGTCACTGGTCCAAGCCCTTCATCTGAGGCAAAAGAATTATTAGTAAGACGTCTGTTAAGACCTGCTCTTCCTGAACAGTACTGTTTCTCTCCCTTCAAAATAATAGCATCTAACAATGTAAAACTGTTGTACTGAATGCTGGAAAGCAGTTCTATGATCAATAGGAAAAGCTTTGTTTTTTTTATAGTTTAGATGGAAGCAGTGTCCTTTTTTTTTAAAGCCTGACTGTGCCCTGCTTCCTGCTCTTTCTGAATCCAAAACCTAGGCTTTAAACTGCTTGCACACCTTTATGGTGTATTTGAACAGAAGAAACAGAAAACCACACAAGCTCTTCTCAGTATGCCTGTTTTCTGTCATCCACAGAGGTATCCCATGCAATCATAACTGAATTGAGAGGTTGAAGTAGACACCAAGCAAGACCAAAATCAAGCTGCCTTGTTTAAAACAGTAGGCTGCAATATTTAGCCACTTCCTGGTAAACAGACACCAATAGTCCCCATCTCCTATTTTTAAGGAATAGGGTTATAAAAGTACCTTTCATTCCACTGTATCTTCCTTAGGTGCAGGAAAGAAGAGTCCGCACAGTATTGGGCTGCTTTGCAGGACAGGCATCAAAGTATTGAAAGTGGCTTAGACTGCCATCAGAATTAGCACTAACTGTATATCCCAGGCCTACATACAGCCTACTTTATAGTTGCCTGACTACAATATCCTGCAGGGGAAGAGGAAGACAGCAGTAAGAAATCAGCACTAAATAGCATCAGCTTCTGTAGCAGTGCCTTATCCCTCTACCTCAGGTGAGGACTCCTGCCACACAGGAATGCTACAGCTGGAGGTTGTTGACCCAATTGCTCGTGTAGTGTATGTAAGACTGGGAGGTCTTGTGTTCTACCTGAAAGCTGTAAAGCTATTCTTGTGTACAAATTTAATTAAAAGCTATATATTTGGAAGTCTTCTGTAAAAATATACATGGCTCTGAAAAACATACTTTTACAGTTGTAATTTCTGGACTAATGGCAGTACAGCATTGCTTAAGTGGAACACACTCAAAACCAGCTTAATTGGCATTTTTTACTATCTTCCTTCTTTAAAAGTCAACCCAAAATTTGTGTCCTTTCTCCACTCCAGAGCTGCAGTGAAGGCAATGCCACTGCATCATAATTGCAATGAGCAGAATCACAGAGTCTTTGAGATTAGAAAGGAGCCTCTGAAGGAGGAATTGTCTGAAAACAAGGACATACTTAGATAAAAATTTCCCTCCTTTTTTTCCACCAGAGTTCCTGAGTCAAAGGCCAACACATGCAGTGTGAGTATCAAATACAAACACGAAAAAATCCCCAATGTGTAATAAAACCTGATTTTTTTCAACTTCCAAGCAAAACTTTTATGCTTTGTAAATTGGTAAACAACACGTCTACATCGTGGAGACATGACTATTTGGAAGCAATCTTATTGGGACCCAGGGCAGAGGAAAGGTTTTGCCCCTTTGTAAGTGCCATATCTGCACAGTTTCTCAGGGTTAGAGAGCTATTCATTATTCATCAGGATTTTCAGTTCCCACAGCATCCACAAGCCAAACACCAGAAGTACCCAAGTGTACAGTTTTAAATAATGAAAGGTGGAGAGTCACAGACAGTAGATTATCGGCTTCACCTGCCAGGCAGAAAGTAATTAATCTGTTTCTTTCCCCTTTTCATCCTCTATCCCATATTCCACTTGAAGTGGCTCATATTAAAATAGACTAGAGTTAATTACCTGGTGAATAAAAAGTATTTCTTAGCATTCCCTAACAGCTAACTAGTCTCCTTTCAACAGCAGGAGACCAGTATTTAGCTGAAAGAGATTTCTCATTCAGGCCATCAATGAACTTTTCTGTGTCGTTCCAAGCTGTGACTAATCAAGGATTTATCAATCTATTCATTAAGGCAGCTTCTGAGTCACTTACCTGCAGTGATGTCTCACTTCCTATACTGATCAGTACTTTACTGAAATCCCTGGAGTCAACTTCCCACCTCAAACAAAGGAGCTTTTGAACAAAGAGAATAAAATGTGCCACTGAGTAAAATCTAAAACTACCCCATATTCAGAATGAGGTGGAGCCCATGGCGTGTACTATAATCAGGATCCTGGTAAAAAGTTTAAACAAACCTCAAAATTACTCACAAGAAAATGCTGACTGTTACCAAGTCAGTTTTTCTAAAAATGTCTACACTTACCATGTTTCTGTTCTGCTGGAGTCCTGACAGTCACTACATTCCTCCATGACATATTTTACACCCATGTTACAGCTAACATTTCTATAAAGTATTATTTATAACATACTTTTATCTCGTGTCTGTCCTCTTGCCTTATCTCTGTCATCTGCTACTTTGTCAAGCTCTAAATCCAGATACAAATTTTTCTGCTTCATGTTTTCAATTGCAGAAGGAAGGTAGTTGTGTATTTTTACTTACAAAAAAGCCAAGGACTATTCCTCAGCTGCCCTTTGGAGAAAAGCTGGTGGATAGTTTATGATACTAACTTGCAAAAACCATTCCCAAAAGAGTATAATTAAAAGAAACACCTACCTCATAACTGCTAATTATCTTGACTACAGAGAATTTCTATCAAGGGTAATTTCCATCAGTGAGCTCAGTTTGTTCCTTAATTGGCTGTTTGGATATGCAGAATAAATCAGGACACAGTCATCTCATAGTGCCTCCTCTACAAATGTTTCTATGTTTACTGATCCAGGGATGACTGGTGCAGCATTCCAAAGAAGCATGAAGAAAATCCCGTTAGTGGAGATACCAAAAAGCTAAAAAGAACAGCTCCATGACCTTGCTGACTTAGTAACCTCGGTCTGACAACATAGAAATTTACAAGGAGTTTGTTTATTAACAACTTTCAGACCATCATAACAAGTGTAGTAATAAAAATCAGATGTGATGACACACAAAATACTTTATACAAACAGACTGTGTCATTTTACCAGTGCAGAAAGTACAACAGAGATTTAGAGAACTAATACTTTGTCCTGCGGTGTTTGGTAACCTTTACTTTTCTTCTAAGATTGTTTCTGCTATTGCTGCTCTGCTTTCATATTTCTGATGAGCTTCATGTTCAAGTCTACAAAGAGAGAAAAAAGCAGTCAAATAATGTGTAACACTAGTTCTGTTTCTGCATTTAAATGTCAGAAGAATAAACTGGGAAAACAATTAAGGTTCTTTTGTGTCTCAAATCCACAATCTTCTTGCAGGGAATAACACCCACTCACTCTCTGGTTTCTGTGCTTGGCAAAAAAATTACTGAAGAATGCAGTAACAGACCCAAACTAAGCACAGCTATCCCCCAGTAAACGGGAGCAGAGCTCTGCCTACAGCAGAATGCCCACAGAGTTGTGTGAGAGTTGGCTTGAGCCTGGTACCTCTTGAAAGCAGATCAAGAAAACTCCCTGACATCTGTTACACTCATGTGAGTAGCTGTGACAGCAGAGAACGCTCATAGTAGTGCCCAGCACGTGTAGGTGTCAGAGGAGCTGTTGCTGCAGGATCTTCCTCTGGCAGCCCTAGCTTGGCCCCCTCAATGCTTGGGGAAAATCAGTCCTGATTCTGAACTTGCTGGGGCAGCCTCTCAGGTTGGGCAATCTGCAATATTTTTTCAGATGTCAGTTCCTGAGTGTTTACTGTCAGGACTTTCCCAAGCCTGGGTGTGGGGAAACACTCCCTTCTGGCACCTCAGCTTTGTTACCCCACCATAAAACAGAGTAAATAAACATATATACTGATAAAAAAAGAGAGAAAGAAAAAGGGTGGGGGTGGAGAGGGAAGGCCTCTAGGCTTGATATTACAGCTCTGCAACTTAAGCAGTTCTGGCATGACGTTAAGCACCTACCACTCTTCTGACTTCGCTACAGCAGGCATGTGAAAGGCTACCTGAGTAGCATTCATCTCCCACCCTCTTGCCACTGTTCAGATTTCTCCTCCTCAGCTGGGCACAATGGGGAATGGGGATGAGAAAAAATGTTTGATCCATCCATTTTGCACTAGCAGAGGGTTTCCTGAGGAGGGAATACTGGGTACAGTATGTTGGTTGCTGTGAGACACCAGGACACACCTGACAACCTACATTCATTCTTCTTGGGACATAAAGGCAAACACACGAGCTGGCAGGTAAGTACATATCCCATGCTCCTCTCTCACCATAGGTTGAAGCTCTGTTCCGTCTTCATTATCGTGGAAAGGTCTTGTGCTTCTGTGTTTTTGCCCTTCTGTTAACTTGTCACTCTGACTCACAAAGGTCTACAAGCAAAAACCAGGGTGAGGTCATTTGGGAAAGCAAACCATTATGTAAATAAAAATACCTGGTAAAGGAAGATAATTAGCCCGGGGCTAAGAAACTGTAGTTGGTTCCTGACTGGATGGCACTGAGTGATACTGGGAGGGACTCTGCAGAGGCAGCAAAAGTGATGAATGTAACTGAGGAGGATGAACCAAGAATCTCTGTTACATCTCTGACTGCAGGAATGAGGACTCTGGCTGTATGAAATCCCTTACCCGGTTCTCCGCCCACTGCTGCATATTGTCCTGAGGGCCACAGAGCCTCCCTTCCACCCCCAGCATGTTTGTAACCCAACTGTAACACAGACAAATGCCTTCATGTGTTGGGAAACTCCAAATTCTTGGCTATGTAAGCAAACTTACTCTTGATCATACAGTGAGGAGGAGTTTGGATGTGCTGCCCCCAGTTTTTCCATAAAAGGGTACACTGCTTGGAAGACTCCTTAGCCCTGTGGGAAATCCTCTCTTCATCCACAGCCCTAGGGCATGGCTCATTACAAGGAATTAAGACCAGAGTTAAAGAAAAACTACCACAAAAGTTTGGAAGTGGAGAAAGGAAAGCCTCTGTTTGTTTCATGAAAGGGAATTGGCTCAAGAAGTATTTTAGCATTTGGCAAAACAGAGGGGGAAGAACAAAGGTCAAGGCTTCAGAGTTTTCCATTCAGTTATATTCCTATCCAGGACATGTGCGTAAGTACTGTTCTGAACCAAAGCCAAAGAATATATATCTGCTTTCTTCTGTACAAAGGGTTAAGCCTATCTTTAGGCTGCCTTTCTGCTGGTTTTCGGTTTCAGTTTTTCTTTGTTCTCAACAAAATTCTATGAACATCACAGAGACTCTGACAGCAATATTAAAAAAAAAATAAAATAAACCAAAACGGTTCTTCAGATACTGTCCTGAAGAAATCCATCCAGAACATTCGTGTCATGTGAGCTGCTTTGGCTGCTGAGTTTGTTTTTCATGAATCACTAACATTTTCTTTGTTGCATGGTTTATGGAGGAAAAGACAGAACTGGCAAAAATAACACGAAAGGAAAAAAAATTCTGGATCTTCAGATATTCTCTTAATAAGAAAGAGATGGCACATATATATTCAAATGCTTCAGATATAGCTCTCCATTGCTATTAGCTACATACTGATGGTAATACAACATGGTAATTACAAGGGTAAAGACACAGAACAATCTGTCCAGAGACAGAAGAATTTAATCAAGAGACAGAAGACAGTGTTTTGGCAAAAGAATCTATAAAGGTATGAAGCAGAGCAATTCAGGTTTGCATGAAGTTTCTTCAGAAGTACAGCATCCATAGGATGTGAAATGGATCCCTGACCTGCTGCTTGCAACAAGAAATACCTTGTTGTTTACTTTTTTCATCATACAGTGAGTCACAATAAATATAAACATTAATCTTAGGGCACCCCATGGATCAGTTTCTGCAGGTAGTGCATCTATTTCTTTATATTATCTAATTACCAACAATATATTGAAGATATATCCAATAAGGCCTAAATAATCACCCACTACTTATAGAGTATGATCTAAAAGAAGGCAGCAGATCATAGCCAAGCACACAGGAGTCAAGGAACCCATTTACTTCACTTTATAAATTAATGTATGACTTGTATCCCTGAGTCCATCCTGTTCTAAGGTGTTGGAAAGGAAATAGCATGGATTGTGGGTTCAAATTGCTAGGTCTTGGGCAAAGAAAAAGTGTTTAAAAGCTAAGAATGGCTCAAATATTTTTGCTGTTATCACTGGGGTTTACCAGCAGCTCCTGATCCACGAAGTATGGCTTCTCTGCAGTTCCATCATTTGTTTCCATATCAATAGCAAAGCAAAGAAACATGGCATCTGCTGTCACTTCAAACACAGACAGAAAGCTGTGGGACATCAGGTAGGCAAAAAATCCAACCAGCAACAGAGGAACTACCCAAGCTTGCAACTCCCGGTGGTAGTTAAATGCCATCAATCCTCCAAAAACAGTAAAACATACAACAAACACCTGTAAAGGGCAGCGAGAGAGAAGGAAAACCTCATTAATCATGTAGAAATCTTCCTTTAAAAAAAACCCCAAACAACTTCCCAAAAACCCTGAGGTAAATAGATTACAGCCAATATTTTAGCAGCACATCTCCTCTGGGAGATAGCTAAGCAGTTTCCAGCACCACACAGTTGTCACACTTTTCAATTCCATGTGTAAATTCCATAGGGCAGAGGCAATCTTTTGCTGTGCATCTACCAAAGACTTGTTGCAATGGAAACTGCAAGAGTGGCTCCAAGGACACTACTGTAATACAACTAAATAACTCTGCAAAGACTATGAAAAGTTAAATTTGAAGAATTAAGTTTGAAAGAAGAATTTAATTCGAAGAATTAAATTTGAAAAGTTAAGTTTGAAGAAATAAATTAAATTAAATTCTTCAAACATTCTTCTCTCCTGAACTCATTTTATAGCATTCACAACACTGACTTTAGCAAAGACAAACTTTATTTACTTTAGGTATATGAAAAGATAATCAAACCTGATTTTTCACTTCATCCTTACAAAACAGTACTTTTCTTACTCTTACCTTTCCTAGAAATAGGAGAAAATCTCCAAAACAGCTAATGGATGCAAGTTGTGCAGAATTCCTTGCCAAAATACAGTCAGCATCCTTTGCTGATGTACAAAAATTTGTCCCATTTATGGCTGTAGTTGTGTATGCATGCTGAAATGAGATAAGGTAATAACGCAGTGAGAGAGGAAAGACTCGTAATCTAGATTTTACTTCAGCAAAATGCAAAGCCTTAAACTCTTTTATTTGGAAATACTATCTTTATGAATATAAAGATTTACACTGCATAAATATGTCAATTTTATTTAAAGTTACTATAACAATTATGCTTCTAACTTCCAAGAGTTTTTCTACATAATTTCCACTTTAGCAAATGCTACAATAGTGGCTAAATAAATTTCTGGACCCACCTTTATCAATTCTATTTTAAAATACCTAAGTTCTCTACCCTAATTTTGTGAATGAATATAACACAATTACCATGAAACACCTGGAGTCCCACTATCCAAACTTATTTGCTATCTATCTTCAAGACTGCTGGCAAAGGGAAATAATGAAGTTATGTATTTACCAAGCCATTAAAAGTTGATGATTAAAAAGCTTTTATACATGGTGCTTTCAAACTATTTATATGGTACTGAAATTCAAGCTTATGATTATAGCCATAAAATAAACCTTCTCATGAAAGGTGAAACCAACTGTGGAAATTACTGGAAAAGAACAGCTGAAGGATCCTGGACTAGACCAGTGACTGTAAGGCCACAAGCCTCACCCCACTCTGAACTTCAACACACAGTAGGGGCACTCCCAGTTTTTCAATGTATTGAAAATTTTACAGCTGGGGAGGATAGAATGTTTACCTTCATGGATTTGATTATTTTCACACTTTTGCATAAATTGACATATATGTCCCATTCATGGAGCTCCTCAACAAGGTTTTAAAACTATCTTCAAAGTATCAGCTAAGAAAAGCAAAACTCACAATGCTTGAAACGTATGCTGGATTTTACCAGCAATTCTTACGAGTAGTTTCCCTTTACTCAAAATATTAGAAGGCAGATTATGCCACACAACCTTTAGTCACATCTGGAATGGTCAGTAAGAACCACAGCATGCAGGGGATTACTGTTCTGAAGGAATTGATACACCTCATCATGTGCTTGGTGCTTACTTTACTTTCTGCTTCACCTGGAAGTAAAAAAACCCAGCCCATAACTGGTTTGCTGAAAGTGAATTATACTGGCCTACTGAAAACACTTCCTGTTCAAAAACTGTTTTTTTCTTACTTACAATTCAAAATATAAAATAACTTCAGATATCTGAAGGCAAAGAAAATTCTGTAGAGTCCAATTTTACCCCAGAGCAATTTTTGTAACATACTGTAGTGTACCAAAGCTATATTGACATTATCTTAAAATATTACAGAGAAAGAAAGACATTACATGCAAAAATTCTTTGTCTCTTTACTGTGGATGTTATTTATTTTATACAAGAAAGACAATTTTTCTCTGATAGTATGCAAAAAACCAGTGACATTCTGTAAATATTGTACTTACATGGTAGCAAATACATCAATAGTTGGAAAAAACATAAATAAAGGCCATGGATTTATTGTCTACTCTAAGCAAAATCAGAGACTCCAATAAACTCTATAGAAACACATAGAGCATCTGCATAAAAATCTGTTTAAACAAGCAAGTTTGCTTAATTCCTAAATAGGAAAAAATGCTTTCTGTGCTAAGTTTCATTTATCCTGCTGCTGTTCCTTTCCTGGCAGAGTGCTGTCACACCGTAACAGCCCAGGATGTGGCAGCAGGAAGAGACCAGCCAGTGCCAGTTTGTTTCTGTCCCTTAAGAGCTAAATTCACAGAGCAGATCCTCATTTGGTGAGGTCAGTATAAATTTTGCCAATAAATTAAAGTGAGATTCTGTATTCATTTGTAAATTGCAGAGAAAAAATGTGTTTTAAAAATTAAAAAGTTGAAAGTGCACGTGCACTTGTACAAACATTGTTTCCAAACTTTAAATAAATACCCATTTGTTTGCACTCTTGAAGTAGCCACTTTGGTATTCAAAGAATGTGCAATGAAAAGAATTTCTGATATTTATTAACTAAGTTCTCTTGGTAAGACTGAAAATAATGCTGGAGACTGTATAGTACCTGCACAGGGATTTGTCGTGTTACAAACCAGTTGATAAAAACTGGCATTTATAACATGTTACAAGTCATGTAAGCATTAAAAAATCGTAATATTCAAGACACAAAGGCAGCCATGTAACAATCCAACATTATAAGAGAGAGACAAAAATTAATGAACTGCTGAAGGCTACAAAACTAGTCAGACATAGGCAAAGCAAGAATATTACTAGCACAAGCTGAAGACTTAGCCAAGTCATCTCTACCTTTTAGCAAAAAAAAACAAAACAAACACAAAAAAAACCCACACAAAAACACATTTCTGAGAACAAAAAAATAAATATTTGAAAGGTTTCTTGTTCAGCCTAGAATCTTTTTCCATACACTTTCCTCACAATTCCCAAGTTTGTCACACAGACCCTATACCCTGGTCCCATCCAGCCACACAGAAATCCACATGTTCTTACCAACAAAACACATCTAACATTTAAGTAAATGTATGTTTCCATGAAAACTCAGTGTGGCACAGAAAGGAGCTCAAATGATTTCTCATCTTTACTCACTAGAGAACACCTAACACATACAAACTATTACCAATATTAGCAAATAATTTTGGACTTTGGAATAAAAAGCTTAGATATCCCATTCATTTTGCAATTGCAGGGTATGGGTGACAATGGCCTTTCAAACTAAAGATAGTTGCGAAGGCTAAGATGGTAGACCATGGTCAGTTAAGAACTTGCTAAGATTTAGAAACACGTTATTTGTGTTTTAATACAGAACACATTCTTTTTCCATGCACAAAAGCTTTAGTGGACTTGAAAATGTTTGAGAGAAGGTCAGCAGGAATGATCCAAAAGGTATGGAATGTCTTCTGTCTGGGGAACACCAGGCTCTTCTGTCTGGAAAAGAGATAACTGAAGGAGGATGCAGTAAGAGGGCTGCAAACCCATGAGAAATGCAGAGAGGGTAGGTAGAGTTAGATGGATCACTGTTGCTTCCAGACAAAACCCAGGCAGGGGAAGAACCATATGAAGTAGTAGAAGCCAAATTTGAAAACAGATGGTATTTCTTCTCACTATAAATCTGTGAACTGCTGGACAAAGGATGCTTTAGCTGCTAAAAGTTCACATGAGCTCAAGGGAGACTGGGAAGTTCAGGGAAAAGGAATCAGCTGAGAAATATTAAACACACAGAAAACACTCAGCTCAAGAAGTCCCCAGGATGAAAACAGAGTCAGAAACAGCGCAGGGGTAGGGCAAGGTCTGCTTGTTCCATCTTAGCATTCACTTACAGCCACTGTTGGAGATGGGATACTGAGCTAGAAAGAGACTAAGTCTGATCCTTATATGCATATTATAGCTACTATGTTTATGAATCAATATTTTACAATTGTAGTCTCTGATATGGTGACAAGCAAGCAGTAAGAGCAGTGATAGCACATGATTGATCAGGAGGCATGGGAGATTGTGGGTCAGGAGCAGTCTTTATCCTTGCACCAGTAAGTTGGTCCTGTACCGCCACCTCTCTGAAGAACACAAGCCTCTTCTGGCTCTTCTGGGGCCTGGGAACTAGACACTGATTTCTCAGTGTCGGGATTAATAAATAAGGAATGTGAATGTTTATATATTTCCAAATACCACAGTATGCGAAAAAAAACTATTTAAAGAATATATCCTTCTGTGCCTCGCAACCCAGAATGTCAAAGGTCCTGGAAAAACTGACCTGCTAGTTTCATGAGAAAGGCACTGTGGCTCAGATCCAGGTCGTAAGTTCTCCAATTGTTGAGAATAATTGCTACTTTGTGTAACAGCTGAATTCAGTCCTCCATTCTAGGGCTTGCTTTCATAAAATGAGCTTGGGGAAGAGAGAATTGCCATAGCAACAGAATCTTCTTAAAAAAGAAGCAGGAGACATGCTGGTCTCACATCCCAGTTCAGCTTTTTCTGCTCTGCTGGTATTTTCAGCCTGATCTTATCTTGTTGCTGCCATCTCTCCTGGGGGCTGCCCTGGTTAGCTACACCCACTGCAGCACAGTGCAGCTCAGGCTGGACCTTTTTAAGTGTCTTAGCTTCCAAGTGTCACAGCTGCCAGTGGAGGCCCCTCAGAAAACAAAATCCGGTGGTAGCAAGAGGCAATGACATTTCTGTGGCTGCTGTGCAACAGTTACTGACCCGGTGAGAAAGTTGGATCACGAGTCTCGGATAGGGGTTGGAAATGAGAGCAACTCAGGCCTGTGTGGCCCCACTGAAGAGATGAGGACATAAGACTGGAAGGGACTTCCAGTCCCTGGATATTTCAGATTAGCACATGATACAAATCTTTTCTTAAGTGGAAAGTTCCCTCTTTAAACCACTTAGGACTTCTCCCTCTCCCAGCTCTTACATTTGGAGCTATTCCAGACAGTCGTCCCTCTATCCTTAGGAACCTTCTTCCAACTTCCAGATAATATTTACTCATGAACAGTTTACATCTAGTCATTTTTCTTCTGACCTTGCCTACCTCTTATCCCTCCCTACTGTCCCACAGATGCTAATGGGCTTGCTCTTACCTTCATTTGTCGGAAGATATTCCAGTCCCTCCTGCGAGATAAGCCTGATCTCCCAACCAGCAATTTGTACGACAGCATTCATCCCCCTCTTTCCAGTGCAAGTATTTCATCTCACACCTTCCAGGACCGACTCTGTGCTTTCTGCAGCCTTGTTAACTAAAGGCTATTGCACTGTGGCTGACAAATACAGGGAGAATATTCTCCTCCTCCACTTCCAACCAATAAGCATACAACTAATACAGAAATGGTTGTATTTGGTTCTTAGGCTAATTACCATCTGTAAGAAACTCTCCAATAACCTCCTGAATTTTTCCAAGCAGTCCAGAAAGCACAGCTTTCATTTTTTTCCATTACACATTATATTTGCCAAGAGAGTTATCAAAGTAGGAATCAGTCAGCATTGTTCAACTCTATCCACTACATAGTTCATCCTACAGAGCAAGTAAAGACCTAAGGAATTTTATTTCTTGTTATCACATGCATAAAGCCTCTAGAAAGAAAATAAACATATTTAAAATACAATTTCACTTAAGATTAACATGTTATCCAACTGTATTTTCAAGAGGATTGAAAATTCAACCTCAATATCTAGAAGCAATTTTGCCAGTAACATTAAAATGCAGTATTGTTTTTGGGAGGAAAAAGAAGTACTTGATGGGGTGAGGCACAATGTGTTTGGCATGCAGAGGAGAACTGTGCTTACATTAGCATGCAGGACTTTTGGTCTTATCTAGGTGAATTCTCCACAAGGCATTTAACTGCAACCTCCTGATAGGCTGCCATCCAAAGTTTCAGAGACAACCAACTGCCATGGATATACAACCATCAGACAGTCGTGCTTCTGGTTTATTACAGCAGGCAGTTGCTGGCTTTCAGTCTCAGGGAAGGGTCTCAGGAGCAGCAAATGCAGGCTACACGCTGTGAATTCAGACACGGCTGCCGCAGGGTCTGGAAGGCTGCACTGCAAGGAACTGCACTGATGGAAACAGAGAAACCACACACACTGCTCAGCAGCTCCTTCAGAAACCCAGGCACTGCACTTCGGAGCAGCCCCTTTGCCAACTGGTTGCAGATGAACACAAAGCAGACACAGAAAAGCAAAACTATCCTGAAATTGTTGCATTCTTTAAAAAAAAAAAAAAAAACAAAAACCCACTGAAACAGGGCTGCAAAGGGAAAGTGTTGTGAGTGCTTTGATGTATCAAAAGCTAAGACTGACACTACAACTCCAGAAAGCAGGAGAGACACAGGCCTTGTAGTTCTGAAACCACATTAAAAAAAAGGTATATTCTTTTTACAGAAGAGAAATTTCAAGAGCCTAGATTTTACTTGAAATGATTGGATATGTTTATCTGGAACATATTGAAGCCATCAGAGCCAGAAGAGGAAAAATCTGTGGTAATTCTGACAAGTGTTGGCAAACAGAATTGTCAAGTAAGGATAATGACTTTATATTCAGAAAGCACTTTTCAGCCACAGAACCCAGAGTGCTCTACAATTGTTACTAATGGATTATGCACACACATGAATCACTTTGCCCATGACTGAAATGGAACAGCTTAAGGAGTGAACTGTTTAACAGCACATAGCAACACTACACCACAGTTTAGCACAGGATCCAGTTGCGAATCCAAGAGAAATTTAGGAAGGCAGAAAGTAATTATCCATATTGCAATCTGCACAGGACACTGGGCTTACATTATCCCTCCTCCAACAGCCACCACTGGAAATATGGCAATTGTCAGCATCCAGTTCAGCACTCTGTCATGATGGGAAGATGACAGGGTAACTTTTTGGCCTGTTTCAGTTAACTTCCAGGAGAGCTGAACAGAAACTTAGCTGAGCCTGCAGAGAATGAGTCATTTCAGGGATTCATGCAACTATCAAAGTCAGTGTTAAATCCCACGTGCGAGATGGCACTCCAGCCTGCAAAGTACTCTCTGGTAACATAACAGAGCACTTGGTTCATTCTGCATGGGAAGAAAGAAGCTTGCATTCTATCACCAAGGTTACCTCCTCCAGCACCTGTTTCTCATCTGCAAGTTTCTCAGAGGGAAAACAAGGGACTCTGTTTAATCCTGATTAAACTTGTGAAGGAAGGAGCAGAAAGAATTTAAATCACCTAAGCAGTGTAACAACAGGTTGAAAAGAAAATAGTGCTGAAGTGATTTTTTTTTTTTTTTAGAGTTTCAGTTAATTATATGCTTATTACTATAGTGAAAGTAATAGTAGAATAAAAGGTAAAAATATATTAAGGAATGTTAATGTACACAATGATCTTTGGACCAACTTTCATAACAGCTGTTCCACATTTCAGCTCATACAAAAATCAAAATTTGAACTTAGAAACGTAGGTACAAGCAGTTTCTTAACCCCTCCAACTCTTACTCTCAAGTCCATGTTCAACATCTACAGGAAAATTAAAGATTATTCCCAGAAGCTTTCGCCAATTTCAGCAAGAACTTTTAAGAGCTCACTACTTCTGTTAATCAAGCAATATGTCAAAGCTGCTTAAAATTGGGATTTTTTTCCCCTTTTTTTTTCTCTTTTACATTTGGCCACAGATTTTACAAAATTAAAGATGAAGATTTTCAATCTTAGTCAAAATATATTTTTTTAAGAAACAAGCTTGAACACATTTGTTAAGGGGGGGGAGAAAAAGCTAATTAGATACATGAAATACTCTATTACATGAAATAACTTAAGACCAATGGTAGCCCTTCATACAGATAAAATTTCTATTAAAATCTGGTCTTACTTTTCTTCTTCTCTAACTGTTGCCCAAACTGCCCTGCATTTGAAAAACGTGGAATACAATCATCTTTGCCAAAAAGGTATTCAAACAACTATCTAACAACAAACACTGTGTTATGAACATTAGGTTAAAAACCACAACTCATATGAAAACAGAAATTTGCCTACAATAGATTAGGAAACAGGAAATCTTTTAAGGGAACAAGAGCCTTCTGAAACAAAAGGAAGAACATTACAGTAATTAATTGTTTTAACAAACACATAGCATAGAACAGCTGGAGAAAGTAAATACTAGAATGCTGGATATCTCTTTGAAAGGCAGGAAGCCAGGTCAAGGGGAAAGGGTAACTGCAAATGGAAAGCCTGGAATCAAAATGAACTCTGATATTTCTCTCCACTTCAGTTACCATAAGACCTACCTAGAAAACGTAAGTCTGGAAAATTCATCAAAGATTTCACTGCACAAGTATTTAATCTAGGCTGAACTAAATTAAAAGCTTTCTCTTCATAGCTGTCCAAGATTAAACTTATGCACGTACTTAAGAGGACAAGTCAGACCCTTTATGAGAATTGTCTTGTTTACTTCACTACTGCCTTCAGAAATGAGAACAAAGAACTCAGCAATCAGAGATTTAGGAATCAGCATGAACATCTGATTTCCTTTCACATTAAGAATATCACAGTCACCAGGCATAAAAAAAGGGAAATGAGAAAGAGAAAAATTAATTATTTACAATTATGTATATAAAGATGGAACACATTTGGAGAAAAGGAGAAAAAAAGTGTCCAGTATCTTAAAAGTTGCTGTATGGCAGAAATCATCCTTTTCCAAATAAAAATACTTTTTAGACAAGACTTCTAACATCCAAAATCATATTCCCAGATATACTGATAATGGCAATCATTCATCAGGAGTTCAAGTTTCTTTACTCAATACTTCCAGGTGGAAAACACTGTATCTAGTTCAATGACAACTGGTTCAATCTCCAGGTGTTTTTCTTAATTCTTCATTGCTTCCTTCCACCTGGACCCTCTGTGTTTCAGTAGTCTGTCTGGCACATCTCAACAAAATGTTAAGTCTTCTTACCTACAGAAACAGCAAGTGGCCCTCTGAAAGGGTTGTCTCACGCTGTATTAAAAAGTTCTCTAAAATCTTACACCTCGCACGTTTGTCAATTCCCTGTTTCTTTGCAACAAGTTCCATCTGCACTTGAAGGCTTTTTTATTTAATTTAGGTGGCCAGCTCGAAACTTTGGCCTGCAGGCACTGGCTGTAGCTTTTTAGCTGTGTTACGGGGCTGGCACCCACACACAGCATCCAGACTAGGCTGAGTGACAGAGATGACAGATCATACCTGGTTAAAGTATCTTAAGCAACTTTCCTGGCAGCAAAACCAGCAGAAACAGCACTTGAACAGGCACTTTGCATTCTTCTGCAATAAAATGAAACGATTGGTTACTGGACACATAATTAGACTCAATCAAAACTGGCATTTTAGAAAAAAGTTGCTTTATAGGTTTCTGACTCTTCTACTAAAGTTTTCACTTAGACAGCAGATATTTCCACTAGGATTATAAGAATTGTTTTTAATTCAAACCCTTCAGTATTAATGACTGATGAACTGTAGGTATTTTTTTTTCCTGTGGATGGAAGATTCTTCTCTGGGAAAAGAAAATAAGTGCTGCAAGCAGCTTTGTGAGCTAACAGCTGCTTGGAGAACAAAACAGCAGGCAAGTCAGTAACCCTTACAGTACTTTGCAGTGACCCAGGAGTACACTGACAGATTTTGAACTTTTTTGTTTATCAAAAAACCCTCACAGTTCTGAAATGACTGGTACCCTAATGAACAAAAATAAAAGAACGGGCAGAAGGCCTTATATGCACATATATGTGTATTAACTCAGAGCATACATTCATTTTTCGGGACAGGAAGGAAAAGCTTGAAGAACAGACTATTCTTAGACCATTGATCTATATTAATTTCATACTAGAAACAGAGCAATAAAGCTCACTGTTTTTTTCATGTCCCTGTACCCCCATCACATCATGAGCTCAGAACTGTTCATCACAAAGATGATGCAAGATAAGAAAAAGACACCTCGGTAGCCATGGCAACCTTACAAATTTACTGGCTGTTTTTCTTAACAAAAGGAAATTCAGTTCAGGGATATCTTTTTAACCTTCTTTTTCAAGGAGTCAGAGTGTTTTTGTCTTACTTTGGAAAGCAGAGATCTTCCAGTCACTACAGGAAAACTCAGATCCCAACAACTCCTGTTGTTCGTGCAGAAACCACGAACCTCCCAACTTTTTCCAAAAAGGTTCATGAAAACACTCCAGGAATAAATCCTTTCAAATAGTGACTCCTGACAGAGAAATACTTTACTCTTGTCATGTATTGCTGGACAAATTATTCTACTAAAACTATATTATCTCAGTAAGTATTGTTTGTTAAAAGCCTAGAGCAAGGGACTCCAACTACAACCTCCTCTCTGACTCTGCTTGAAGACTGCTGTGTAGAAATTATCCATAAATTCACCTGCAAGCTTGCAGACCTCTATCTTTTTCTCTGTTCACAGAGAACAGCAGCATTTTTTTGCAAGGGTGGTGAAGTCTGGGTGAGCTCTACAAGAACGCAGCATCACTTCTCCGTCCTTCAGTTCCACTACTCTGGCCCTCTATGGAAAGGGCCTCAATGACAGGGGCCATAGCCTGTCCTTTCTCCCATGGGATGGAATTAGGTTACTCTTGGGGGGATTCTGCTGTGGACTGAGGACAAGAGTTGGCCACGGCACTTTCCAGCCTCTTCAGCAGCAGTTACAGCAACGGGTCGTGTAACATCCTCAGCTGAATGCTGGGGAACCAGACCAAAGGGAGCCCGTAGCACATCACTGCAGCCCCAAATCATCTTTCTTTGCTAATTAAATCTACAGCTATTCAGATTATCAAGCTGTGCACCCACCGAGTCCACTTATCCCGCTTTCTCTAAGGGCAGAAAATATTCCAAGTCATCCCACCTATCATCTTTATAAAGTTCTTAGTTGACACAACTCACCAAGTTTTAGAACCAAAACTTTCATAAGAAAGCAACATAAACCCAGACACTTCTACATCCACATCTTTCTATCCTATTAAAAGGAGCATGAGAGACCTCTCATTCTTGCCAAAGTGCCAGAATTAACTACAGTGATATGTTTCCAACAGAAGATAACAGATGTGGTGATGCATGAAAGGTAAAACGAAGGTGAAAAAACATTCAAAATAGCCCAGCTATATGTTTTATAAATCTTAAAAGATGTGTTTTGGATACTACACAAATCTCAGGAATAGTTCTTCTTTCATAGATGAAATATTTTCTATAACAGATCTTATATCCAACAATATTCTTACTTTTGCTTTTTAAAAATTTATGATGCAAAATATTTTTAATAGAGCATTCTGCCAATTTTTTTCCTTATCCTTCATAAAAACCTTACCTATAAAAACTAAATTAAGGGGGAGTATATTGGTATTTTCTGCTTTTTATCTGAGTTGAGAAGAAAAAGGAAGCACTGATATCTGAGATGAGAGAAAAAAAGCTTCCTTAATGAAGAAAACAGGATAAAATATAAAATCCATTTAATATCATCCACTTTTAAGCAAGAAATATATTCTTCACTTTTTTCCCCCCTGTGATTTCACCTTTTAGTTATTATTTTTATAGTCTTTCAGAAGCATATACCTACCTTTTGTTTTAGGACATTATAAAGGTACAAAAGAACAATCCTTGGTATTCTCAGTATTGTGATTAGAAATGAGCCCTTGACAGCAGTTCCTAGATGGTAGCAAAAGAGAACTGATATGGAAGACAGGACTGGGTGAGGTGGTGGGCTATTTTTATTTCTAGAAAGAAAAGCAAACAATTTAGAAATGGTTTAGAAACTTATTGAAGAAGATAAGCATCGTGTCTTTTCAGTATGTCAAAATTTTAAGGATTAAGACATTATCTCCCCTTTCCTACTTGAACTACTCCAGGTTTTCTACTGACTTCATCTGAATGTTCACCTTAGTAAAAAAAAAAAAAAAAAGCAGCCAAGTTTATAAATTCCATTGAATTAGTTTAGTTCTTAAGCAATGGCTGTTTCCCGTGATGGAAAAATATCTAGGCAGAAAATTACAATGGAAAATACAGAAGTGAGTAATATCTGAGAACACTCCTTGAACACCTCTCTCCAGTCTCTGTCACTTCTCTTATTTGCTGCAATCTTTCATTTGACTGTTGTTTCTGCAAGATTTCTGCCTGAGGGAATGAATCCACTGTTTCTTGCTTACAGGTAAAATTAAAAATAGAAAAAAATTACAAGTTCTCAAATGTAAAATTGAGAGCTACTATCTACTTTTATAGTTGCAATTTGGCCAAATTTTGGTTTACGTTTTGTTCATATGATTAATCTTTTTTGTTTGTTCTCACTCAGCAGGATTTCTTTTAAAAGGGAATACACACACAAAAAAGGGAATATTTTACTATATGGTTAGAATTATAATTTAGACTAAAAATTTGTAGTACTAGTACACAATAACCTGCATTATTTTTGAGAAACAATGTCTCTGCCAAAATCAAACAGCAAAGACAAAAAAAAATGGCCTAAATACAAGTTTTATGGTTTTGGTTCCTTTATAAAGCTCAGTTTAATGTCAGTCTTTTGCAGACAGTAGTATGACACACTCTCAAGAATTTACATAAAACCCAGGAAATCAACTTAAAGACACTCCCTCACTCCTTTAAAAACTGTTTCATGGGATTAAAAAAAAACCCCACACTGATCAATATTCATAATTAGCCCTTCTGTAAAGCAACTCTTAAGCAACTGGCCCAACCCTGAACAATTCAGTTAGGCAACAGGACCAGCAGCAGTTGGACTAAAGATCAGACCTCATATCACAAATAAGAAGCCCTGTCTTCAGAAGTGGTTCCTTCAAAACCTTTGTTTTCTTGAAAAATCAATGATTTTCACAGGAAACTAAAAAATTAAAAGGCACCAATAAGAGACTGACTGGCTGGGGCTAAAAAGTTATAAAATTATATTTTTATGAAATCCTCACCTCAGTAAGGATTTATATTATACACACTATATCAAGATAGGTATTACAGTTCTGCAAGAATCCTGAAGGTATCACTGCAGTTCATTCAAAACTCTATAAATACTTTGCAGCTGAGAAGTTGTATTTAAATATGTGAATATACCACATTATTTTAAATAGGAAATTCCAGAAAAGCAGTTGCTGTATTTATTATTTTTGATCTTACAACGAGGGGAACACCTTTGGGGATAGTGGAATTTTATACTGAATAAGGCAGTTTGGTTGGTTTTTTTCAAGTCATCAGGTTTCTGTGTTAGGAACACATTCATTGCAATATGCATGACTTATTCCATTCATATTGAACCACTGTTTCTTTCTCCCCCATACACCACCTTACATATGACACTCAGTTTGGTCCTGGAATACAAATTATTAAGTTTCTGCAAGTTAAAGGTTAACAAGTGATAAGAAACACAGAAAGGAGAAAGTTTACTCGTGTTAATAACGTACTTGCTACTGAAGAGAAAAATGAAGAAGGGTTATTTTTAACCAGACTGAATAATGAGCAGGAATGTCAAAATGTGAAACTTCGTTTTGATAAATTTTTACACACTTTCTTTTTTCTTACACACGCTTTTCCACACCTTCTTTTCCTATTTTTAGGAATTATCACAAGAATAGGATCTGTCAAGATTTCTTGCTTTGCTTCCAAATAGATTAAAAAAGAACAGATTTTCCTTACAATTCTGGCTCCGAGTAGGAAACACAGGAAACTGGCTAAACACAGCAACTGGTGATGCTTCTGACTCTAAACAAGCTCGGGATTGGTTCAGTCATCCACCTACTCCTGTTACCCCCAAGGCTGAAGTTTCACCAACCTTTGTACATGTCTGCAATCCTGAAGTGACTTTGGCACAAGCACAGTCAGCCCCATATGCATGAATTTTGTAGGCAGTTCACATTATGCAGTGAATTCTGTGCATGTGAAATCCACTGCATGCACACAAGTTATCAGGGAAAGATATAAGACTGAGTAGGGTCACAGCTTTCTTTTCCTCTTTGATATTTCTATTTTATATTACCACGAGATTGTTTGATTTACACAGAACACTACCATTCCAGCATCCTGTGAACCTGTATTCAATACCATGTTATCTTTTAATAATTTTCTTTCATCAATACTAGCCAATTGTCTTATTTTCTTGTAAGCTCTGTGACATTCAATTTATTTTCTAATGCTAAGTTCCTTGAATCAGATGATCATGCATGCATCTTGGCTTTCATTTTAAAAACATTGTTTTTATGAGAAGCAAAAACGTAATCTTGACACACCCAACAGACACAGACATTTGAATGGGGCGGGGGAAAAAGGGTATTTCTTCATTTCTTTAAAATCCTGTTCTCTTCAGAGCTATGTTTACAGTTCTCTTCACTCATGCCTCACCTGTTTCAAAGACTGCCTAAGAAAAGCTTTAGTACAAAATACTTTAAAAGTGTTAGTGAATGAATCTTATCTTCCTCAAGTAAATATGAAGCTCAATTTTTAAACAAATACAGTAAATTACAAGATTTGTAATAAAAGAGACATTATCAGACTAACAGAGAACACACAGACTGGACGTCCATCTGCCCTTTTACCTGATCTCAAAAACAGCTGGGACAGGTCTGACTACACACATGCTGATGGCTCTTTTAGGTCAAGTATGTAACTAGGGCAAAAGGTGTCCATAAATATTGCAGATATATTTGAAGATGGAAGAGGAAGCCTTTAAAAACTTGGTTCTAGTTCATCTCTCAATGACTTTGGTGCAAATCCATAAACTTTCATTTCTGACTTACTCGGAGTTGTGTATATCTCACGTCTGTTGGAAGTTGTGGTACTGAACACTTTAGAATGCGAATCCTGCAAATGCTTATAGGCTTCCTTAATTTCCAAACTGTGCAGTGACATACTGGAGTTACTAAGTAAGCTCAAACATGGACAGAACACTGATGGCTGTGACTTGGATCAAGTTACCATATCACCTTCCTTTAACCCCAGGGGAGAAACCTCATCTCCCTGAAAAGGTAATTACACACAAAACACCTAAGCACACCAAGGTGAAAATAAACCTTCATGTAAAACACCAGTAGTAACAAACAAGGTTTTTTAAAATACTGAGCCGTTTTCACAAGTCGTAAAAAGTAATTGTTAAGAAAAACATTCTATTTATTTTAATAAAATCTTTCACGTATTCATGTTTCATCTAAAATAAAAGAAGGCAAAATCCATTTTCATCCATGCTATTACAGGTCAAACGTAAGTAACCTGTAAAGCTAATCCAAGCAGAACGGCGCCCAGCCCTCCCCATTTGCGATGGCACTGTGGCTGTTGGCCGTGCAGCACATTTGCTGTGTGTGCTTGGAAGGAGATTTCCGCAGGGAAAGGCCACACCATTTCCTCAGAGCACTTACAAGCAAAGAAGAAAGTCTCTCTGTAAGATACCATAAACAAACTCTTATGACATGCCTTTATGATGCTCCCCCAGGGAATACATTAAAAACACACAGCAGACAAGCTCAGAATTGCTGGAACAGCTCGAGATAACCCTTGCCCTTGATAGTGGGAGTGCTCCTGCAGCTAACCATCCTCTCCCCACTCCTGCACTGCTCTGCATCTCTGCAGATCCATGGTGACAGCCTAAAGGCTGGGAAAAGGGATTACCACTACAGAAGAGCTGCATTACCCCTTCCAAGCACAACTCTCTCAACACAGTACATGTCACCTGGCAAGCAAGAGGAAAGCTCAATGGTAAAGGTACAAAATGATTTCAATACAATTGGGAGCAGGAACCTTCTGTACTCCACAGCCAGTTCCTGCAGCAGTAAAAAATAGCTGGAAAGCGGAAGCCCCTAACAGAGCAGTAAATGTCATCACAGCAGTTTCTACAGGTGCTTCCCTGCTCTGTGTGAACAAGATATGGACAGTGCCTTTGCCTTGGGGATTTATATGGTGTATTGTACCAAAATGCACTGCAGCAACAGAGCCCAGGAACTCAGCAGAACTACTTCACTTTCCTGTACTTTCTCAAGCCAGTTTAAATGAACCTTTAGTGCCTCAGCACTCAGCTGCTAAAGCTGAGGTTCCTCCATGTGCTTACAAGAAAAGAGGAGCCCACTATCCACAGCAGCACAGCCATGCCAGTTCCTTGCATTTAGAGCTTCAATTGGAAAAAAAGGAGATGACATCAGAAGTGCAAGTTCCTCCCTTCTCAGGTCCTATCATGCCATGTAAAACAATAGCGTGAAACTACGTCACTCTACAGATCTCAGCTTTTTAAAAAGCAACATTGTAGATTTTGCTCTTTTACCTAAGCTCCGGTTCAGTGGCATGGCTGTCGGCAGTGTAGAGAATCGTGTCCAGGACAGGCTCCCAAAACACGTGCTAAACATTGTCCTGCCTTGGCTTGTTGGATGGGATGGTAAAATATTGCTTAAAACAGCAGTGGACACTGGCTTTTACCAGTCTTTCAGCCTTGTTGCTTTGGCTGGAACAGCATGGGCTGCTGGCTGCTGAAGGAAAACTTTATGGAGCCACTCCTGCAGGCAGAGCCTGCACTGGTGCCTCTGCTGGGCTGAAGGGAACACACTATCTGGAGGCAGCAGGCCTCTTGATCAGCCACTGAAACATCCAGGAGATGGATGATGAAACATTCTGGAGACCATCAACAAAAAGCTGCTTCCTAAGTTTTGAAGAAGCCTAAAGCCTCCCTTCCCAACTTCCCAAGCCAGATGGTCTTTGGCAGCTGCCACCAGTGCTCCAAGGTCCCCAAGCCCTCTCCCGCCAGGCTCCCCACCTCACTCTCACATCACCTTCCTCAAAGGCTAATTTCTTAACAAATTGAGGTTATTGACATATTCCTCTAACACAAAATGAAGAAATGCCTTAAATGCCAGAGTTTTTCACAGATCAGAAAATCTCATCACTGGGCACAGAAGTACAGAGCAATGAAGATGAGAGAGCTCATAAAACACTTATGAGGGAAAATGTTATCAGGCTACTGCGCTCTTCATTGTCAAACAATTCAATCATGTATTGTGAGATTTAAATCTTTCCCTGCAATGAGTGCACAAAACCAATTCACTTTCGTTTTACTTTTCCTCATTTCCTCCACATTTACATTCCAGGGCAGTATAAAATTCAAGGAAGCTGGTTTACACATCTCTGAGTATTTAACAAAGGTGTTGAAGCTTTTACAGTTTACTGAAAATAACTGCACAGAATGAAAAAAAGAGTAATAGACCAGTCAGTTTTGCAGTTAGAATAAAGGAAAATGCAGGGCAGGGATGAACACTTACAAAAAGGTCAAATGCCTATGAATACATGATATTACCAAGGAACTCTAGATAGCTTCTCATTTGGAGCTAATGCACTCTCCTGGAAAAGGGTCAAATGCAGCCTCTGCCTTCCGAATGGTAATTCCACCAGAGTCAGCTCAGCTCTAATGGCTTATAGGAAGGCTCAGTTGGGCCTAATATGTCCAGAGGTAGGGGTGAGTCACATTATTATCATGCATATTGTAAAATCTAACTCAACAGATCTTGCAACAAGCAACATTATTTTACAGTAAATTGGATTTCATATATTGACATAAATAGTAATGTATTTCAGACTATTTTTCCTTGAAAAAGATTGAAAGTAAATGCTGGAAAATCCCCAAAACTTTTCAGGGGCAATTCTGCACTCACCTGTTGAAATAACAAGTAACCACTGCCCCAGCAATCACCATTTGCTGACAGGCAAGAATGAATTCACTAGTCCAGATAAGGCCAACGAAATGATACCATGCCATGTAGCAAATTCCAGACAGAGCTCTGTATTCTACTTGTCCTCCTGAAGTAGACTGTGCAGTACCTGAAGTTGGGATCACACCATTGTATTATTATAACAAACCAGACAAGGGGAGGGAAGTACATGTAAGTGCTTCTGTATCCTCTCTCTTAGCTTCTCTTCAATGAAATTAGGAAAAAAAAATGAGATGATCTGACAGACTTAAAGAGATAACATTTTTTAATTCAAATTGAATTTTGTAAAAAATCTTACAAAAAGCAAAAGATTGCATTTAAATTTGGATTAAGACACAGCTGCCATAAAAGTCAAGAGGACAGCTACAAGTTAGTAAAGATTTTTGAGAAGACATTACTCAAAATTTGAGGACTCAAACAGTTCAGAAGTAAATGAAATCCTAATTTTCTTCATTCAAATTTGAAATAAATTCATGGTTATGAAATTCTTTGGGTTTTTTTCTGTAAGAAGCAAAAGAGAAAGACTACAGAAAAGCATTAACCGTGCATAATTTATATTTGCAACAAAACAAAACAAATATTTTAATTGCTATTACTAGTTAGAACCATGGCCACTAGTTTTATGTTCTCTATACTTTGAAATCTTTGTTCAAAATACAGGCACATAGAGATGGCTGCTCTGAGGGGGGGAAAAAAAAAGCAGACATCTCTATGGTAGTATATGCTCCAGTGGTAATCCTGTATCCAGAAACATTGACAAATTCACTGATTCAAATTAAAAAACCTTGCTTCCACTTCTGTTACTAACTAAGAATTTATTCCATATTCAGTAGATGGCTTTTCTTGAAAGGTGGGGGCAACTCAGATTACTCAGCAATCAGATCTTTCTCTGTGCATTTATGGTATTTGACTCCGAAGGCTATTCAGGGGATAATGGCATTAGGACATTTGGTTCTCATGAAAGTTCTCTATGTCTATAACATGTTTTGATTTTTTTATTTATTTTAGCAAGCCTTAAGTCTATTAACCTGAAAGAAAAACATGTTCACCAAATAAAACAATCTCTGGAGGTGAATAGTTTCTTATTCAAACTCCAGGAAAGAAATAACAAAGTGAGACATAGAACTGGCTATTACTGCTAGAACACCAATATAACTTAAGCTTTAATACTTCATGTATTCATTTGGTAGACTTGGCAGTGTTAGGTGCACAGCTGGACTCACTGATCTTAAAGGTCTTTTCCAACATAAATGATTCTATGATTCTGTGTTCTCTCACAGGACAACACACCACCTTCAAGTTCAAAACTACTACATGTACAAAGCTATCCATGAAATGGTTCACTTCTCTCCTATTATTCTACAGCCACAGACTTCTTACTCGAGAATAACTAAAAGTAGAAACAATAAAGAATTGTTTCAGCAATACTATCAGGTTTAGACAAGCTTTTTAAGTTTTCAGAACCAAAGTCTATTTGTCTGTAAATAATGAAAAATATTAATCTACTCCATAGTAACACTGCAACATGATTTTAAAGTGCTTTGAAAGGATCAAAAAAAAAAAGCTACATGGGTGAATAAATACAGACATATGTTCTAGATATTTTCTTTTCCAAGAGGTTAAAAATTTCAGCTGAATAGGCAAGCTCTTTACAGTGCTGTATGGTTGGTCATTCCCTGTCTTCTTGGCCTACCAGACACGCATAATTTTGTCAACATAGCATATATGCTATTTTTGTATGTCAGTAGCTCAGATAAACTTTAAAGCTATCCTAGATACCCTGTTGAGAAAAGGATATGCCATTTTCCTCAGCACTGCACTGTGATCTATCTGTTCATACAAACTAAACTTTTTCAACAAAGCCTTGAAGTATGGTTCAACCTGTCAACAGAATATTTTTCTCCAGCTACATAATCAGGAATCTTTCTGGTGTGCTATACATTCTTAGTGATAACACTAACAAGTCAGTAAAGAACTGAAGTCCCTACAGCTGAATCACTAAATCTGGAAACCTCTGATCAGTACAAGTGTTGGTGTGCTGCAAATACTTCAAAAGAAGTGATGTTAACAAAGCAAACAGGCACAAGTGTTTGCAGCAGAACTCAGGAGAGTTTCTCCTCTGACTCCACAGGCCGGTGCAGTGCCACTATGGCAGCCAGCACAGCAGTGCCAGGATACAACAGTGGCACATGCAGCTCCATCAGCTACATTTTGATACCTCCAGACTTATGTCAGATGTTCTTACTCAGCAACTGCTGCTGCTGCAAGGTTTTGCTGACGCCTGCAGCAGAAGGCTGTTGTGAGAGACAAAAATTTCTGGGAAGTCTAGTCTGGCAATTTCCTTATCAGAAACAAAGAGCCACTGATAAGAGAACAGTGAGAGCCTGTTTATCAGTTCCTGTTAACATGAAAATATGATGTGCCCCTCCCACTGCTAAGTGAGGAGAGGTTCTGGCATCATACACTGAATCTTCATGGTTCCTGCAACAGAATTTGTTGTTTTATTTTATAGTGCTTTTCCATGTAGAGATATTTACAGCTAAGCTAGCTGGTTGTAATTGCAATGTCAAGGCTCCTGCGGGAAATACATTTTTATTGCTGGTTTTGCTACTTCACAGCTTTATGTGGCAGTTTTACTGCTCACTGGCCTGTAGAATGCACCTTCATTACACAAAAATCTCACACCACCTTCTCATCCGATATTACACACACAGTATCTGTGCCATGTGGACCTCACAGCTTCTGCACACTGCAAAGCTGAAAGACATGCTCTTCTGTGCCACATGGCCACTTCAAGTTCTGCAGTGAAATACCCACAAATTAACAAACAATAAAACTCAATAACCCTAAGACATATCAGCTTTTCCAAAGCACAGCTGAATTCCATTCCTAGCCAGCTAATCGTTCTAACTGGTGCCACTGCTTGTGCTGCCTGAAGTCTCATGAAGTCTTGGCATTTCTCCTAGTTTTCTAGGTCTGGAATTTACTCAGTCTCTGCTGCTCTTACAGAGTCTGAATTACCAAGGTACTTAGGCAGGTGCCTATCTTAAAATACGTAAGTAGTCCCGCTGATTTTAATAGGATTATCCATGTGTTTCAAATGAGTCATGTGCATAAGTACCTTTCAGTTGCTATAGTTTTCTATGGCTCCCAAGAAGTTAGTTTTTTTCTCACTGTATCACTAACTTTTGGGGGGGATGTAAATAAGGTAGCTGTGTGGTCCCATAATGATCAGGTGCACCACAGCTGAAACAAGCATCAAGTGCTCCAGAATGGTTAAGATGCAGAGACACTATAAATATAATATAACTAGTGAAGATGCAAGGAAAATATTAAGAACAGGTGTAGCACAGCAGCAAACCAATTTCATTTACCCAGCTCTCTTGTATTACACAAAAGACTAGTGCTTTTGTAAACATTTCATTTTTTCAGCTTTCCTAGTATATTTGCATTTAAACTACAGTCTGGATAGACCCAGAAAATATGTATGTCAGAAATAAAACTCAAAGTGTCAAAACCAAGAAAATCACCACCTCTGTCTTACAAACTGAATCCTGGATAGGCAACTATTTGTCAATGAAAAAAACAAATTGCTCTATAAGAGAAAGCATATCTTTGGAGATCTTCAGAGAAATACTCTCAACTGGTGCAAAAAGTCCCCAAAACCCTAAAGAAAAAGAAATGTCTCCCATTTACAGGACAGTTGTAGAAAACAAATAATGCAGAGCTGTTCTGTCAATGCATTAAGCATAAAGTACTGTATGTATTTATGGCTACAGGATGTGTAAGTACCAGTCATCCTAGAACAGCAGAACAGTCCCCAACAAGCTATTTTACACTCAGCTCCTGGAACAGCCAGCATTTCAGAGGACTCACATCTGGGTTGAAAATTTGAAATACAGTCTAAAGGAATATTCTCAATTCCAAATCTAGTTTGACGTGCATTTGTCCAAGTTTTGAATTACAAAACAAATTTGAGGTAAGAGTAAAGGACTAGAAATCCAAACAGCTATCTTGCTGACATCGACCTTCTGTCACCTGTATAAATCTTCTCAATCTGAGGGCTGGATCAAACACTCCATCACTCCCTCCCCGGATTATTAAAACGCTCAGATGGCCTTTGTTTGCCGGGAGGAGTTTCCCACCCCTGTGAGCAGAGCAGCTCTGTAAACAGCCGAGCAGGGGGAGGAACACCCTTTTCGCACTGCTCGAGCGGCACCCGGCGGGCACAGGCGCTCCTGCAGCTCATTCCACGGCACGGGAACACCTCCGCTCCCGGACCTGGAGTGCACTTGGGTAGCAACCGCCACCACTCGGCAGAGACAGCTTAACGAAAGGAATAACTGTAAGTACAAGAGCTGAAATAAACGGAATGGAGTTTTAACCAGAAAAATAATCGAATACACAGAGTGGCATTTTTCTACCTGCATTCACACTTAGGTTGTAACTTAGAATTGATTTGGATTATATATCAAATGCATATTGTATTCTAAATATTAACATGCTGTTAAAAGAAAAATCTGACAGGACTGACCAATACACTAAAAATATCCTGCCAGAATATCTCAGTGAAAACATGTTTTGCTAGGTTGCTCGTAAAAAGCATAAAAAGCCTCTCAAAGGCAGTTTTCATTGGGTTTTATTTCCCTGTGAATACACGTAGAATTTGCTTTTGGATATAATATGCAAGTTGCTATTTTCCTGAAAAGTCTGTAAAACCATCTAGGAAATACCCAACTGGTTCCCCATCCTGCTTTTATCATCAATCTATTTCAGTCACGTGAGCTAAAATATTTCTACTCTTCTAATGATTTCTGTGTTTCCAAAAGCTTTTGAGTACAACAGACACAGCTGGTATTTTCTAAATTTAGATATAATAAAGGCAAGCTTTACATCCTTGTGTGTGCATATTAAGAGTAAGCCAGGTTGACTTATCATCAAGGATGTAATATTTCCTCTAATGGTTCTTGTTAATTATATATTTAGAAAATCTGTGTGTCATAATTCATTTTATTTACCTGTTACTGAATTTACTATAGTTAATGCCATTCTTAAATTGTATCTGATCCAAGCAGGTGCATGAAATGAACAGTTGGTTGATACCTCAGGAGATGCCCCTTTCTATAAAGGACTGGTCTGAAGCAGTGATGAGGTTTCAAAATAACTGCTGCCTGGCCCATCCATGCATAAATGGTATTTTGCAGAAAAGCTAACAGCCACACAGAGCGATGTCCAGCACACAGTGTTGCTTCTGCAATGGGAAAATCCAGCTCAAAGGAGTGTGGAGAAGGAGTATCCATGACATCTAAATCAAAGTGCATCAGCTTGACTATGTAGTCAAGAGGAACAACTCACAAAGAGACTGCAGGCTGGAGTTTTGGCCATGCTAGGTTTGACCCTTCCACAGGATAAGCAGATGATCAGCCAGCCAACTGCTTCAAGCAGCCATTTCTGACAGACATGACCTACTCAGGAAAAGGCAGCAGAAACAGAAACTTGCAAACCTGCACAAGTCTCCAATGAAAGATGGAGGGAAACAGATCCCAGTCCAGCCTAAGCAATGGTTGAGCGATTTGCAATGTCAGTTTGGACTCGGATTCTCATGTTACAAGTCAGTTGGGTCTTGTATAGAGCCAGAATTAACAGGGTGAGACTTAGATGGAAGCTGTTGTGATAAGAGTGAGCACAGCCAGCTTTGCCAAGTGGGCTCGGCTATAGAAAGGCTGGAGGCTTTTCTGGCCCAGCAGGAATCTGTAACTGTGTACAGAGGAGTTACTGCAGCCACTGCATCAGGGGATGGTGGAAACAAAACAAAAACACACAAGCATTTGAACAGTTAGGCTGCATCTGGTCTTCCACACAGAAATCACTGCCAAGTTTCAGAAAAGAGAAAACCCATAAAAAATAGTCTTCATCCGCACAATTCTTCAATCAGCTCTAACCCAAAGGACAACAATTGGCTCCTAACAGTGGCCCTAGAAATTTAAAATTAAAAAATACCAACCCCCAAATCATAATGCTTTCTGTGTACAAAGGCTGATATCTACATGAGCAGTTATCTCCAGAGTTATACAGAGTTTAGCTTCACTTCTTTGGGTGATGTTGCACAGAAGGACAACCTCTCCTTCACTTGGGGGGCATGATGCTGGGCCAAGGCAGCATCCAAATTACCCTAGTTCAATCAGTGACAGATCTCAAAGTGGTATATGCCTCAGTAATACTATTTCCATAGTAAAAATCTGTTCTTGTGGATCTTTCATAGTGATTGACTCTTTCCACCTCCATTACAACTCAAGAACTTCTGGATTAATCCAAATTCTGTTGCACTCCTCTAAATAATGATAGCAGTTGTTACTGCTCAGAAACAACATTCTAAACCTCTGTGACAACTCAACACTGTTCACCTCCTCTGACTATAAACATTCTCATTTCATAATAACTGCACTAAAATGTCTCCTTCCTCCTGCTACTTTCTCCATTTAAATACACCAAATATGTATCACAATTTATTCATAAATTAAATAACTGAGAAAGACCAAAACTAAGGTCCACATATAGAAGCAAAATGGCAATGTAGAAGACTCCAAAAAGTGGGAAATAAAATAAAATGAACAAGTAACTCAGCTGTGTAAATGCTATCCCACATTTTGTACACTAACACCAAGAGGTCCCACGTTTAAGAACTGAACTTAGGAAATGTATAGCACTCAAAAACATGGAAGGCATATACTTACCTGCAGTTCCTAAGCTAAGTAGTACAGCAACCCAAAATACCCAGAACACAACAAGAATCAGAAAGGTCCAGAGTGGCTGGAACACGAGGAAAGGAATTCTGCCAATGACTTTACCAACAATTCGAAAGAGCTGCACAGTGAACCGAAGCCTCTTTCTTAGTACAAATATAAGGCAGAGCAGAACAACCTGTAAGAGGAAATAAAAAGACAAATTGTTGGGGGTTTTATCTTAAGAAAATTATCAGAGTGGAATCAGAGTGGCCAAATGTGGGATCAGAGGATATAGATTTCACAAAGTCACAACAGCAAGGCATTTTACACAGTCTTAATGCACACTGGAAAATCCTCCTGAGATGTTGCCTATATTCTCAAAGAGCCTGTGGATTAAAATCTGTTTTTCTGAAATAATTGCTACTGTTCTTTTTTTTTAACAAAATAATATTCAAAACTTTAATTAATCTCATGGAAAGGTCATAACTTACAGAGGATATATTAAAAAAAAATCTGATCTGTGATACATTTATATTTCTCACTGTAAATTGTCAGACTATTCATACCTGGTGAATTCCAGTCTACGGATCCTACTCTTTTTCAAGAAAACAGAACAATCATTTTGACAAATGTCTCATGAAGTGCAAATTAGTGTATCCTCACATTGAGCAATGGCTCCTTTAACATTGCAACACCAGAGTTAAAAAATCACTTTAAAAGTTGCAAGCCACACTTAAATTTTCTGTTGGAAAACAAGGTCAGTGAGAGAAAAACAGAATTTAACCCCATAATTTGAGGTCTAGACACTGCTGCCTGTGCTTCACTGCTCCTTTCATTGTCTAAAAGAGCTGCCACCCCTTTCTCCTACTGACAGGGTAGGCTGAATCCACAGATCTCATGTTCATAGAGAGCCAGTGCTCTTCTGTTCACTCAACATGCTTCTCAAGTGAGCTGATGCAGAGAAAAATAGGGATGGACCACAATTCTAGCATTTTTACACCATCAAAGCTAACACTGTTATATAGGTTTGAAGTGTGGTAGAGCCTTGTGCTGATAAGTTTCATAACAAAGATTTTTTTTATGGTTTTGACAGGAGTGTTGGAATTAGACAATCTTTAAGGTCCCTCCCAATCCAAACCATTCTACGATTTCATGATTGTATTAAATGCATGTGAGCAGATCTTAGAATTTATCCTCATTTGCAAGTCTAAAAGGAATGAGGGATTATTTTTTCTGCTGTAGTTCAAGTTTTCAAGTTACAGACTCCGCCATTGCTTAGGATTAAATGCTACTTACGGTTACTATTGTGGAGAAGATAGCATATCCAAGTAGAAACTTTACATTTTCCTTTTCTGTTTCCAATTCAGTGCTGGGATCGTTCCTGTAGTCATAATAGAGCCACCAGAGAACACCTGAGACAACTGAGCAGACAAGAGCAGCATGAAGGTGGGCAGTGCTCCCCAGGCTGCAGCTCGCTGCTGCTGGTGCCTGGTGCCTGCCTGGCCTCCCTCCTCAGTCTCCCACCCTTCTGCCTAACCCGGCTCAGCTCTGCAATCCTGTCCCTCAGCAAAGAGAGGCACAGCACCCGTGATCACAGAGGAAATTCATGGGATGGTCTGTCAGTCTAAGGTAAAACCACAGCAGAACATTTGGGTTTTTTGCAGTTATTCTACAGCTCAGGCATGTAATTTCACTGTGGAGACACAAAGCTAACTTTCATGGAATGACAAGGTTTAGCTGGACGCATTCCTATAATTCTCCCTTTCTAAAGCAGGCAGCACAAAGCCTCACTGAACATTCTTAGATAGCATTTTCAAACTGCATTCATCTGCAAAAGAAATGGTGTTCCAGACATCTATAAAAACAATAAGCATCACCATCACCCCAACACTCAGCAGCTGGAACAGCACAGCCAGATCTTGGGACCAAAAGGCAACCAGGCCAGAGCTTGGAAATGGCTATGGAAAGCTGAAGCTCACTGAGGATGGCCACAGAGAAAAAGCATAGCTGCTTGTTCAGCTGCCTCTCCTTCAGTTCAGTGAGGCGATCCATTTAACTGAGCGTGTGCTAAACAGTAGATATACTTACACAACAACCCGAATACAACCAGTGCAATCAAAATATGGACCAGAAGTGTCCGAATGAATCTGAAGGCTAGAACCAGTATAAGAGAGAAGGCTGAAAAATATATAAAGGAAGTTTAATAGGAGTGTTACAACCCATTTAACTTAACCCTTTTTTACTTTAAATATAAATCTGAGGTTCCTGCAGAACTTGGGCATTTATTTTTAAACAGTGGTCTCAAAAGCAACAGCATTACATAAAGCTGGCAACTTTTTTTGACATTTAAAACACACAGTTACCTGTAACTTAACTAATAAGGAACTTATAACTGATATATTTAACAATGGGAATTAGCTTTTCAATAATATTTTGTATAAGATTTAAGTTCAAGTGTTCATGCTGACATAAGTTTTTCCATTAACAATTTCTTACAGTGCCCTGAAATGAGGTATATGGCCCTATCACAAAACACAGAATCTGATATTTTATCAAGCTGAATTTCACCAGTCTATTAAATGCCTCCTGATAAAACACAAACTCTCTTTCTTAAAAACAACTCTGCCCAGAAAACATGAAAGAACCACTTTTAAATTAAATGTATAAAGTTAGTAGGAACATTTGAAATCCCACCTTTTAATTGAATATAATTATTCACTATTTATAACCTTACCTAGTGCAAGGACACTCAGTCCTATCACAGTATCTCTTCCTGCCAATATTCCACTCAGGATTCGGTGAAAAACATCCATTTCATTAACCATGCTTATTAAGACAGATGCATATTTGGAATAGCATTCAGGATTTTGTGGAATGCATCGATTAAATAATGGAAAGGATTTACTGGAAGGTTAAAAACAAAATGGCAAAATATATTAATTACTGGACAGTTTCAAATCCACAAGGATCCATTCTCCCATTCTCCACAGAGAGTGCTGTTAGAAATGGTAGTTTTATGGTTCATCTGCAAAATAAACTCCTAGTAACATCATGCCTGTATCACTGCACCAGAACAGATCCACTCAAGATCAGTCTGGGGAAAAAAAATTACTATCTCAATCACCATCAGCACAGAGCTCCTATTCCCATTCTGGTCTGGCTTCCCCTTCTTCGCTCCCGTGTGTTTATGTAAAACCCAAATTCCTGCTAATATAGCCATAACCTACTTTGTTGTAGATAATTCTAGATCACAAACACTTTGTATTGGTTTTATGATATATAAGCATTCTAAGAACCACATCAAAACAATGTTTGTAAGATACAACTAACACCCCAAATATTTATGTACAAAATTATCTGGCACTCCCAGACAAGCTTCTTGTACATATTTATTGTCCCACTTTGGCAATTCTGCACTACAACGGTCAGAGACACATTCATACCTAAAAAGGAAAGGTCTAGTCATCAACAATTAAAAACTTCCCTGACTAGCTTTGCTTCTACAATGAAATATTACTGTGCAAGATGAGTAACTTTGCTGAGTTTGCTGACAAACACAAAATAGCCTAGAAAGTTTAAGAAATAAGTAAAACATGTCATATTTTTTCATCAATTTACACGCTCTCCTTTGATCCACAGTATGTAATGTTTTTATGTGTCTCCTGCTCTCTTCTGTTCTCTTTGTTCTTCCATTTCCTTTTGTTCAGAGCAGATGATTTAGCTCTGCAAACACGGAGATTCCAATGCTTTGCTGTATTTTCACAACACAGTGGAATTTAAAACTGTGGGTTTAAGGATGTTAACTCACAAATGCCAAATTATAAAGACAGCCCCATCCACAGAACTGTGATTCAAGCTAGCTGGCTATGAAATTATTCTGGTGGAAATTTCTGGGTTCAGGATAAGCACCAAGGCCCAAGATCACAGGTCCTCTTCTTTGGCACTGAAGAAGAGAGTGAAAGTCTGTGCAGAACGTAAGCTGTTCCTCCTATGAAGTGTTTTACTTCTCATTTGGAAAGGAAAACACTGTAAAGGATAGAGAAATGGAGGTAATGCAGTCCCTATTTATTCCATGGGACAGGACACTAGCATGTTCACAGGCACATATGAAACATGTACAAAAATAAATAAACAAAGCCAAACCATCCTGACTGTAAAGCATCAAGTCAAATACAAAATGAGGTGAAATAATCCATAAGAAGCTGTTCAGACTCAAGGATGTTGTAAAATACCCAGTAATTCTTACCTTGGTGGAACTGGCAGTGCAGGACACAGCTGAGTTGCCTTTGAATTTTGTGTGTAACTGGAAATATTCAGGTTGTAAATGCAAAGAAAAGAACCTAAAGAAAAAGGGGGGGGGGAAGAAAAAGAAAAAAGGTAACTTAGTATTAGTAAAAGTTTTTAGAGATAAACACATTATCAAAGAAGTTTTCTTCATGCTTCTGGTTTGATCCCTTAGCAGGCCATAATCACCCATAATATTCCAGAGCGAATGTAAATAACAAATTAGTTGGGTAAATCTCAAGCAACCTCTGCAGAATCTTTTGCCTTCTAGACTTAACTATAGTTGCCATTTATCTTCCTGGAGAGCAGGCACACTGTTTATTCCACAACGCCATACTTGGCTATTAATTCTTGCTCATTAGGATAAGATAACAGAAAAATCTAAAATGACAGAAGCTACATTAGAACTAAGCCACTCATAAATTATAATAAAATATATATATATCCAGAAACTTGTTCTAGAAAAAATATTACCAGATACTCTGCTCCATTATACAACACTTCTGGGTAAGAAAGGCTGGATACGTCCAAGCCATTCAAAATGCAAGACTTCCTCTCCTTTGAAATAAACATGCAAGCAGTAATTGTATTTAGTTACACTGCAAATACTTATCTAATATCACAGGTGTTTATAGCTTTCTGTAAACATCAAATGATGTCAAACTACTCCAAAATTAAATTAAAACAAATTTTGTCTATTTAAATAGCAATCCCTGCCAAACAAACCAAAAAAGAATGGAATATTGACCTCCAATAAAAATAGCCACTAATATTCATATGGTCTGCAGTTTACACATACCCCACAAAATAAAGATTAGGCTACAGGTTATTTTATTTACATGTTGGACATGCCTCTCTTGCACAATAGCTACTTCTGACATCATACTCATCTTGAACAGCAGAATCAAATTCCTAGGAATGTCTTGGTTTTGGTTGGAAAGTGAGTGACTGCATGGCACTTAGTTGCCACCCAGAGTTGAACCACAAGGTGAAATAGCAAACCTTGGGATCTGATGTCTAAAGGGATAAAACCACTTGTTTTAAATCCCTGGAAATTAATAATTCCACCATAATTTCAATTACATTTAAGAGAACTGATTGAACAAATTTCTCCAATAGCATATGAACTCTGTTCACCTACTGGCACCCCCACCGAACTTCAGTAGTTCATTCTCTGCAGCCAGTTTTCTGCTGTGTAATCCCAGCAATCTGCAGCAATTAATCAACAGCTTTTGAATTTGCATAAGAGAGCTGTAACATTTCTAGAAACTATGGCTTTGAAATAAAGCAGAAACAAGAAATTTTATTTTCTGTTGTCATTAACTTTTCAGGAAATTAATGGTAAGATATGACTCCCTAGTGTAGGAAACATAAGAATAACAAAGTGAAAGCTTTTCAATTGTTCTACAGATACACTGAGGTATTCATATTCCCCGTAGCACACCATTATTCCTTGCAAAACTCTGAAGATCTTCCAAAGAGTTGAGTTGCTCTTGTGGACAACTAGACACGCACAAGGAAAGTGAACTGATTTTGAGGCTTTGCTTTTCCAGGTTGCACGAATTCAGAAAGAACACATACCTAGAAAGAGAAAAAGATCCTCTTTTCAAAATACAAGCTTTCTGAGGTTTATAGGTTTAATTTCTGAGCCTTCTTTCCATCTTTTTAAACTGCTACAAAGCAAATGAAACTTTTTCCACATCTAATGGAAAAAATGGAACTCGAAGTCAGAAATTAGGAAGCAATGTGAGAATGTGCTACATTTTTGTACTTCATATTATGTTCTTATACGGGATCAGAAGCTGACAAGGTGGGTGCCATTCTACAAGGACTCAAAGGAGTTAGTGGAATGACTGGGAACTTCAACATGCAACTTCCTTAAGTACACAGATCTGCTATGTAGAATGACTGCCTGTTTGGCTGAAGTCCCATTTAAGATGCTCTTTAAGAAGAAGGCAGCACAAAGTATAACAATGTAGCACATTTTCAAATTCTATCTAAACTTTTTATTTCACTCACCATTTTGCACCATTCCCACTTTTTTCTTGTCTTTCAATATAACGATGTACAGATACACATGTATGTTTGACAACTAGAAGATGTGTATCTTATTAAGTTCTCAAATGTTTGATTTATTTAGACATTATCAGATGTACTTACTTTTTATTGGTCATGTCCTGTCCAGAAAGAGGTGCCCCTTTTACAGGAGCATTCTTCTTCCCACATATGTTCCCAAAGCTGTCATATCCAAGCACAAGTCTTTCTGCAGCACCAGCCATCACAGCATAGCCAGTTATAAACATCTGTTAAAATATTTTTTAACATGAAATCATGCTATGATTGCTTTTCCTTTCCATTCAATAAATACTTCTTTTAAGACGTACATTTTTGTCTTGTGGATGCAATCAGTTCAATCTAAAATTCACCCTCTGCACAAGGCCAGACCAAGTCAGATAGACAGGTTTAGCCCTATTGCTTCCTTAGGTCTTTCCTTCATCTATTGTTGAAGGTATATAAATTAAGCAGAGTAACACGGGAGAAGAAAGATCGGGGTCCTGATTAAAATAAGAGGAAAGCATTAGGAAGGTGCTAGACAAGGTCTCTACTGAAGTTCATGTATGTCACTAGGCAAGATTCCTCAGATGGTGATTTTTCATGTGCTCACTGCATCTTCTTTTACAGGGTGACCTTCAGAACACACCCGGTCAATACATCTGCTCAGATGTTGAGCCCTTGAAGCTGGTAGTGAATTTAATCAGAGGTATTTTTAAACACAAAGTATAATCAAAATGCAGGTTACCTGAAATTTCATGAAGAGACAATCTTTAACACATGAAAAACTTGGAGAGAGACATACTGTGCACTTGGGTGACACTGCCCTGACCTTTTAGTTGTTCTGCTGTCAGATTAAAGTTCCAGTAGATCAGCTCCATGTAAACCCCAGGGGCAACTAAGCACTTCTGTTGGCCAAGTAGCAGCAGTCCTTAGTCAATATGAAACACCTTGTCAAGGAATGCAGCTTAAACCCTCCTATACCCCATGAGGGCCAAAATAATCCAGCAAAGGAACCTTTCCAAGTGCCAAAAATCAGCAACTCTTCTATAAAGCTGATGAAGTCCTGAGCACTGCTTTACCCAAAGGCTTATTAACAGCACTCTAGCTATTGAAGGACTCAGTGATTCAATGTTCTCCCCTGTCCCATGGGGTGCAAACCACATTTCACACGCACCAAGGACAATACACTGAGCTCTGGGGCTACATGCCAGCTGCTGGCAGCAGCAGAACTTCTCAGTTCCATATTAACTACTACCAGTTTGCATGGATATGGTTGAATATTGGCTGTGCTGGAGACAGACTGCACATATCAGATCCAGTACAACTGCTTTCTTCCCTAAGTTAGAGCTTTATTTGTTTTTCTGCTTTTAACGCTCGTGACTAAAGATGGGATCTGGGCAAAAACTGCGTCTCATACACAAACATGTAAGTATGTACTTCCTTAGTCCCCAGGGTAGCCTCATTTTTGCTTACAGTAGACTCTTATTTTACAGTCTAACAAGTTCAGTAATTTTTTTAAATTATGACTGCATGATAATGTCTCAATATGGACATCTTTGTAGAGACTCCACAATTAAAGCTGACACACTACTTCTGGATGTGATTTTTTACAATAATAAAATACTTCCAGATCCACTTTGTTTGCACAGCAAGGATTTGTTAATAATTAAATTGTTCTCAGAAGGAAAAGGAGAAATGAGCTGGGACTGTAACTCAACTGAAATATACTTTCAGAAAAATTCTAGTATTCCTTCTAAAGATGAGCATTACAGGTCTAGTGGGTACAGGTGATTTTTGTTTTTTTATATAAGTGCATAATGCTTATTAATGCTTAATTTATGGATACAAACCATAAATACTAGTAAGTAATAGATATCTGTATGACTGCTGGAGGGGTGTGTCTACATGGCAGTGATAAGCACTTCCACAGGACTACTACAGTAGTTTAAATTTTTTTCATTGTGTGAACAAATTAGTATCATTAAATCTTTTAAAATGTTTTAAAAAGAAGATCAAACACAAGAAAACAAATACATGTATGCAGTAAGCTATTTCACAGAAACTGAGCAATAAAAACAGTAAGAGAAAACAAACAAAGATTGGAAATATTTACCATTTGACAGGTTTCATTTTTGGCATTTCCTCCACTGATCAAAGCACCAAAGTATTAAAAAAACCTATTCTGCTCACTAAGTTCAGCCTCCATTTATGCAGCATTCACAATGTGTAGGTATAATTCTGCATTAGCATCCATTAACAGATTTACTAGGAATGGAATTAATCAATGTATTTACGAGAATCCTGACTAAACTCAGACATACCACAAAAAAAACCCCAAACATTCACACTTGAGAAAGACAAAGCCTGAAGCCTGCATGCTGTTCTAAGCACAGGTCAGATAGTGACTTAATGTAGTGTCAGATGAACATGTTGCAAGATAACAAGACTACAATGTATGAAATAAGTAGACATAAGAGCCCAGTCAGAGCCCAGACTGATTTACAAAAAAGCGAATTCTAAATAATCCAGCCCCATGTATACATGGTATCTAAAGCATTTGGGCAGCAAAACTGTCTGTGTGAAAGACATCACAATAAAGCACTGCACCACTGCAAAGGTCAGATCTGTGCCAGTGCAATCCTGCAACCTGTGCCCATCACAATTTCAGTTTAGATTTAGTATAACACTGTGCTGAACCCCATGAACTTCAGATCTGATTTTTTGTTCCAGAGAAAAGCGTGCTTACCAAACCAGCCCAGAAAAGACAGAAGAGGAGCAGCCAGAGAGTGTCTGTGCACTTTCTGTAAATGACTGGTCTCCATTCCTGTAGTTCAGAAGCACTGTCTCCAGAGCCCTAAAATGAAAGAAAAGTCCAAAGAAAAGTACAAAACAAGCTTCGTGCGAAATTAAACCAAGTTCCAAAGGGCGGAGAATTCAGAAAGAGCGTAACCTCGCACTTTAAGCGCCGAACACTTGGCAGCTCTCCCCCCGCAGCCGCTGTGCCGCTTGCCCATAGCGCGGTGCGCCGCCCCTACCCCGTTACCCGCACCCAGCCCCGCACGGCCGGGGCAGGGCGGCCCCGCCGCGGGCCCTGCTCCTCTCTCCGCCCCCGCCGCTGCCCCGGCCCCGCTCCGGCCCCGCGCCCACCTGCCCTCGGCCCCCGCGCCGCTCCATGGCCCCGCTGGCCGGCCGGGCCCGGCGCGCAGCCGGCTCGGCGGGGCGGCGCTGCCCAGGACTCGGCACCAGCGCCGCGGGGCCGGGCCGGGCCGGGCGGCGGCACCTCCGGCGGCTCCACCCGCCGCTGTGGCCGGGCACTGCCAGCCCCGGCCCCGCCGCTCCTCCCGGGCGGGCCCGCGGAGGGGCCGCTGCCACGGCGGGAGGGAGCGGCATTCCCGCCCCGCGGCTCGGGGGCTCCCTCAGCCGAGCTCCCGGGACGGGCGGCCGGGGCCGGGGTCGGGGCCGGGGCCGGGGCCGGCAGCGCTCGGGGGCACCGTCACCCCAGGGAGGGTCTCGTCACCCCAGGGAGGGTCTCGTCACCCCGGGGAGGGTCTCGTCACCCCGGGGAGGGTCTCGTCACCCCGGGGAGGGTCTCGTCACCCCAGGGAGGGTCTCGTCACCCCGGGGGTCCCGGCCAGAGGGACGGGGCCGCCTGCAGCTGCTCTACAGCCGCAGGTTTACACATGGCCCCCGGCCGGGGTGGGAAGTTTATGTTTCACGGTTAATTAGCTTATTTCTGGGAATAACTGAAGATCTGTCATTGCCAGCACAAAACGTGAGGGGCTGTTCGCGGTGTAAAGCCCGCTGATACTGATACCCACTTGGCTGGTCTGGCTGCATTATCGATATACAATCCGTCATAGATCCATAGATCAGCTTCTCTTTGTTTGTTTGTTGTTTGTACAGTTACAATACACTGACAGGCTATGTTAGGCTATAATTACCTCATCGATGTCCATATGAATTTTATGGGTACAGGAATAACCTGTAATAACAGGAATAACGCTGAATTAGGTCAATGCTTGTAACTTTAATGGCCAAGGAATGCAGAAATTATTAGCCACTTCTAACATGTTTTCTCAGTGCTGTTGCCTTTTTATTTATATCTTTGCTAAATTCAGATCAATAATCTAGAAAAAAATACTAATTGAAAGGATATTAAAAGTATGGTTTTGTCTTCTTGCTGACAGTCAATGGAAAAAAATGTCCTCCTTAAGAAGTAACACAACATCTGCAACTGCATTAAAATTAAATTAAATTGAAGCTATTTTGCAAAACCAAGAATTGGCCCAAGTTGTATAGGACACAGAGCACTAGGCTGGTTTTGCTTGGGGGAAAAAAATGTATTCCAATCCTTCAGAGAAAATGCAGAATGAAACCTTGGTGACACACTAGCATAGATAGAAGTAAATTGATAATATCAGAAGCTGGGTTTAAAAGAAGAAGGAACCTTTGCCCCAGAGCATTTCAGAGTCCTTCTAGTGTGACTGGAAATAACTACATTTTCCTGAAAAGTTAACTCGTGCGATGTTTCTGAAATTGACATTTTAACTGACTTAACACAACTCGGTAAAATTCTGATTTAAATTTACACCCACCCCCTTCCCAAGAAGTGGTTCTGACAAAATGGCAGGAAAGATTTCTAAAAACTCTGATGTCTTAAAAAGGATTTGTTAAATCATTTGGTTTCCAGCCAGCTCATAGTTCTTGTCTTTATCAGCATTGTGTCTTTTAATGCTTATTATTCATCAGTTTGTCCAGAGTTTTCATAATTTATGTGACAATTAGAATAAAATTCTAAAACTGATAAGGTAGTTCTGTGGTTTTGGAGCCTAAATAGAGAAAATAACTCTTCTTTCACATTGTGCTGTTGCCCTCTAAAAATACATGGAAAAAGCCATTTTCTCTTGAAATACAGATGTGAAGTTTCACGTGAAATTTAACCTTTTTTATTTAAAGGAGAAGTTCAATATTTTGATTATATCAAGAAAAATAACCTAAATTATTAATAACCTTTAACCTAGACACAAGGAGTATCCTGAGAAAGAATCACTAGCTGATTAAGAAAATCATTAAAAAAGAACAATGTCAGTGAATGAAAGCAGGTATTTGAATCTGATGACTTGCTGTCATCACATGCTAATATTAGCTTTTGTTGTTGATCTGGCACTTTTTGAATGATTCTCCTTAAGTTTCGCATTCCATTCCTACTGTGAATAAATGAAAAGAGCAAGCGGAACAAATATTTTTGAATAAAATCCAGATTCCAGACAAATGAAGTTCATGTAAATACACCAGCATCAGCAGTAAGGCCTGATTTTACCAAGCAATATCAATCATAATTCTTGTATTTCTTCAACTAGCCCTGGAAAGGTTGTCTTATAAATGACAGAAAATAACTCACGATTAGAATAGGATTTTTTAAAATTGTAAGTTAAATATTGTAGTTGTTGTAAGTTGGGGTTTTTTGGGTTTTTTTTGGTTGTGGTTTGTTTGTTGGTTTTTTCCTGTTTTAAAACATTTATTCCACTCAGTAGCAAACGAGTACTTTTCTCGCGTGTCACTAGGTGGGGCTCCGCTCCCTGTTTCGAGCAGCACACACGGCACTTGGAGTGGGTGCGCAGAGGCTGCCGCTGTGGTTAGCCAGCAATCACAAATGAGGGCATGCTCCAGTTGAAGAAAATACCAGGAAGCAAGGCTCAGATCGGATAAGGAATTCAAACATCCACGTCCAAAATGTAATACCAAAAACTCTTGCTTGTTTTTTTTTCCCCAATTCTTCAAAATTTTGCCCAAATTGCCAAGATGAATTTTAAACTCTCTCTTACCACCTTCACAGGATTGAGCCTGGTTCTGCAGCTGAGTTGCTCAGCAATTGGTGAGGAGCAGGGAGTTTTAGAACTGCCATGTTGTAGAGTTGATTCGGTTTAATCTGAAATAGAAATGAGTTTAAAATGAGTTCTGGGAAAAGAAGAGTACTGGATTACAAAACTAATTACTCTGCCAGAGAGTTGTATGCTGGCTTGTGCTCTCTCTCCATTGTGAGATGCCCAGGTTGGAGCCTTTGGTTTCAGTCTCGTGGTCTATATGCACAAGATGCCAACTTTCTAATATGTTTCATTTCATTCTTGTATCCAACTACAGCCACTTTCATGGGAGATTAATATGATGAGGGTCCATGTTCACTCATAAGTCTTCACTGACCATTCAAGTATATAATGTTTCTTGTTTCTTGTAAAGGAAAAAAATATTTACAATACTGGAGTACCCAGGAACTTGGTGATTTAATTGTGTTTTAAGACATTAACCATTCAAACTATGTGTTGTGATGGGGCAACCACAACAAGGGAGATTAACATTTATGCATTCAAGACTAGTTATAGTTTTTAGAAGAGGTTTTATATGTTAACCGTATGTTAAACATCTATCAGCATCAACAACAGAAATACTGCAGCAGTGAAAGCTCATGGGCACTTTTCTCTGGTTTTGATTATTTGTTTTTCATGAAGTCACACAGAATATACAGAAGAAAATCAAATATGAACTCAAGCTTCCTGACTCCAAGCCTCTGCTTTAATCACAAAGTTCTTATTATTTCTTATGAGTGTGGTGTTTGTTCACCAAGAATAAATCCTGGTGCTGCCTGCACTTAGGGCTCAAACTTACCTGGTTAAAACTGGGGCAGGAATGTGGATTGGGAGAGGAAGGTATTAAATGAAAGCATGCCAGTTCCTTGCTAGACTGGTTAAGTGAGATGACTGCCCCTATCTGTATCCCCTTGTGGGTCACACAAGGAACAGACACCAATTACTTTAATAGCAGGACACAGCAACTGAGAAACTCAACTTAAAAGCCAACATTTTCTGCCTAATTAGAGAAGGTGCAGCTGAGCATAATTTCCATCACTCTCAAATGATCTTGCTTACGTACAGTAACTTAGCAGGCAGGCACTGTTCTCCATATGTAACTATGTTCTTGGAATATCCCAAACTGAAACACCCAGAAACTGAACGTAATGCCACCTACTATGTTCAAGCTGTTAGTCAGGCTCGCATTCTGGTATTTATGACCTCATCTCACTTGAACCATTCAGTCTGAAATTTCTCATGGCAGGTGCTGAAGATTTCTGGAAAACATCAGCACAAATTATTCAGTCATTTTTAAGAATGAAATTAGAGAAGCAGACATTATGGTACCCCTTCTTGAATAGTAGCAAAGAAATTCTTACACATTACTTGGATCAGAGATTTTTAATGGACAGAGAGAAAGAAATGCTTTCTGCTTTTCCTCATGTCTGAGAAACTTTGTCCTCATTTATCCAAATCACTTTGATAAATCACAGAGTATGAGCTTCATAGCTAAGGACTCTGTAGACTGTGTCTGCATGGTGTACTCCCAGGCCTGACTGAGACAGTCTGGACAACCCCAAAATGTGCCTCTCAGCTGCCACATTCTTTGACTTCAGCGATTGTTCTGATGGTGAGCGGGCACAATGGACAAAGAAGGATCCTGAGATGAATGTAAATAAAAAGGAGAAAAGGCTATTGCTGTTAAACAGATTCCTGGAGTTGATAAGGAATACCTTGGTTGATAAGGAAAGCAGTGCCTAGCAGCTCTGAGAAAGATTAGAGGATTCATAAAGGTCACTATCACAAAAGCATTTACCCTAATGCTGTAGACAGTGGGCCATTATGCCTCTGTTGAGCCACAGTAACAGACTGGAAGCCAGGACTGGCTCAGCAAAGACACTGGAAACAGAGATCTGAAAGTAAAATGGAAGACTAGGACTATAGGGGAATGGCAGCCAGAGAGAGGACTGGCTGGTGAGGGACAGCATACAGGATTTGAGGGAAGGGTGGGACTGGATGTGAATGAGACTGAGAGCCAGGAGGATATGAGTGAAGATTGAACAAAGAAGGAACCTGAGAACTAAGGGCAGTTAAAATTGGTGTAGGGAGGCATACAGCTGGCATGGGAAGAAGAGGGTAGACCAGAGAAGCATGAAAGCTATGTGGAGATTAAACAAGCAATAGCACAAGTCCTGATGGTACATAAGACTGTGGGGAACAATCAAAAGAATCTGGGTCTGCTACCACTCCCTTTCACAAGCAGAGTATCACCTTTCCTCTGTTAGCAAATATCTGCAACGTTGACCTGAAAGTGCCCTGTCAGGCCTGACTAACAACTCAAATCACCCTGCTAGGTTTCTAATCAGCCTGCTAACTGTCAATTACTCCGCTGGATCCACTGGCAGACATTTGTCCTGTGTATCCAGAGAATCTAATCCTTCTGATGACTTGAGTTAATTTCTTTATGATGGTCCATGTTAGCTTTTCTGTTTCGTTATCTAGAAAAATCCCACCTGAAAATATATTTACAGCTGGAATGTTTAAATACTCTGTTATACATATAATGATGAAATTGGACTAAAGATAAACAATTTTTTCCCTAGCAGTTTGATGATTTTTGAGATGCTCCACTTCTCAGCCTTAAAAGTAACTTGAATTAAAAAATTAATAACCAATTAATAAGCTACTTATTTCCAGCTTCTAATTAACAATAATCCCACATTCTTCTGGATGTGTCCTATGCATTTTTATTTCAGGATAATGATTATTGAGTAGGTTATCTAGAAGAATAGAGTGTGCACATCTCATTGCCAACCTCTATAGTTTTAGCTTACTACTGCAACCGTCCCTCCTGTGATTTACCAAACATATGAATCATTCAAGGAAGGACTATAATGCCACAAAGTTAACTTATTCCACTTTCCACACAAGCAAGCAGAGATCTGCACAAAGAGCCCTTTCATCCCTTTCATCAATACACAAGCTAGAGCACAGCCTGACCTTAGAAAAGTGTTTGCCAAGTTGAACCTGGTAATAAACTTTGGTGACTCATTTCAAGCCTTTAGAAAAGAGAAAAAGGATCAATCTTTCAGGATCACATGTTACTTTACATACCAAGCCAGACACAGAAACAACTCTAGAGCGGTACCTTTGTGGGATGTCAGGATTACAATGTACTTAGGGTTCTGGTTGGTAAATGTTATGGGCAGCACAAGATAAAAGAGCTTGAACTGGAACTCTTTCCATGGTTCAGGACTGTTATGTCCCTCTCTGGTCCAAAGAGTAGACATGCCAGTATATCTGAGTGCCTCAATATAGAGAACAGAGAAGTAATATTACTCTACACATATCCCCATCCCCCTCCCCCCCCGCAAAAGAAAAGAAGAAAAAAAAAAAACCAAGGAAGGGAATTGTTTGAGTTTCAGATAAACTGAAAAGTAAAAGATGTGAATTTGTAAGGTTAGAGAAGGGTAGCTTGTTCTCTGAACTATGTAAATAGAAAAAAGAGTGGAAGACATTCTTGAGAGCAGCAAAGAAAATGAAATAACCTAGGATAAACCCAAATAAAACAGGGTTGCAGAAGGCATCAAATTGAACCACATGGAGTGTGTAGAACTATCTGTGACCTAAACAGTGAGGTCTAGTTCTGAATGAAAAGGATGAGAGGTTTTCATTAGTTGGTGGAGACCAGGGCAGTGGTTTTTATCAACACTAAGATAAGCAACAGAATCATTACAAGGACTAAAGAGAAGTAATTTCTGCCACCACAAGATGCTTCACTGATATTTACATTAATGGAGTCAGCTACTGAGTGCCAATGAAAAATAATCATGTTGAATTGAGAGAGACAGTTTGGACTGTAGGTTTGGTGTTAGGCCCTTTCAAAGTGCTGTGACTGCAGAAGCAGTGGCTGCCCCACACATTTCCCACTTGATGTCACTCTCGGGCAGTTCTGTCAGCCTGTTCACAGCAGCTCCAAATGGCAAAATAAAGAGCATGGTTTTGATACAGTATCTTCTGAGTGGCTTAAACGCAATTTTGTTGTTGCTTTTGGTTTTGGACTTCACCAGCACTGCTTTTCACTGGTTCCTCTAGTGACAACATCAGCCTATTTTAATTTTATTGTGTCTAGATGTTTACTGTACAGAGGTTTAAAAACATGAACAATTCTCTCCGTATTAATTCCCTGTCTCTTTAAAACAAAGCCTGTTAATGTGTAGTGAGGCTTTAACTGCAGTATATATTATTCTGCCTTTAAAAAAAAAAACAAAACAGTTTTTATATAGAGAAGGCATTAGACCATCTAATTAACTCAAAACTAATGCTCCCAACAACAGCACAGGCAGCCAGCAGAGTAGCAGTCCATTTGTAGACTTCAGCACAGACTATTACTGCAATTACTATACATAAGAATAATCATTATTTTAATCAGGAGTTCCAGAATAAGGGTCTTCATGGGTAATAATGTATTGCTGCACATTTTTATAAAACTAGACAGGATCCAAAGTTTTACTGCAAAGCTCATTAAAAAGACTTGAAGACATGGCATTTTCATTGCTTGAAAAGAGAATACTGAACACACTGCTTTGCTCAGCCTGTTAAGAGCAGGGTGAAACATGACTATCTATTTGCTTTGTGCCAATAGGCTCCCTTGTCAAAGGATCATCAATCTGCTCTCTAAACACAGACACTTGAACAGCAAGTTTAAAAAATCTGTATGTGGCTAGTCATGTTGAGTCAGATAATGGCCCACAGATGTATATTTTTTATCTGACCTATTCTTTATACTACCTTTGGTTCACCTGCATGTTTTTACAGAGACTTATCATAAATTATCTGCTCAATTTATGTTTCACCTTATTAGTCATGAGAAGAAAATCAACAGTGAGTGGAATGCAGTCATGGAACCGGCAGTCAGTGGTGATGTTACAGAATACGTGATGGCATGACTTACATAAACAGTTTATTCATCTTCATTAAAGTTATACTGAATCAGCATCAAGGCCCCTCTCTCAGAGGCGTAGCTCTAACTCATAGTTCTGTAGTCATCCTTAAAGGCATAGCCTATGTAAATATAGGGTAAGAGTTCAATAGCTGAAATATTTGCTAAGAACAGTGGTCCAAGTTCTGCAAAACTAATTGAAGGTGGAATAGCTAGAGAAATAATTCACACTCTATTAAAAATTCCTAGGATTGAACATTATAAGCTACTGTTTCAGAGAGAGACATCATGAAGTCTAAAGTATTTTCCACGATACTTAAATTTTTCCATTATCCCATTCTGTTATTACATGTTATATATCAGACTTTCTCATAAAATTTTATCCTGCACATATGCATGAAGTTCAGCTCGACAGAGCAGCTGGATTCTAAAAACAGAGCTCTGTGTCATTGGCCAGCCCTACTCTGCTTCAGGGCTCCATCCCTTTGCCTCCTCGTACTTCCAGTATCAATATATACTTTCATACAATATTTAATCACTTTGTGTCAATATTTCCATTGATCATTTAAAGACAAAACGGTTTTCCTACAATAACAGTAAGATGAATATTAACTGATCTTGTAGTATTGTCACTAAAGTTAATTTTCTTCCATTACTAAGATTAAAGAACTGCTTCCTTCTGAGGCTTCTTGTCAAGTAACAGTGCTGCTTCTGCAATAACAACTCATCACTCTGTTCATAATGCTTTTTATAAGCAATCTCTTTTTCCAAAATGTTTTGTGGTGTTAGGTAAAATGAGATACAGTATTACACTGAGACCTATATAAAGAAAAATATATGTGAATGTCTAGATATTTTTGCAGTTTTGATTTATTTTAATCTTTGCACATAAACCAAGGACTGCTACTCTTCTTTTGGGATTAAACAATAGAATAACAGTACTCCTAGTCAGTCACATTATGGGTAAAGTTATGGAACTTTGATAACATTTACACAATAAAAAAGAGTTATCATTCCACTAGCTGTTCCCAACAAGAGCTACATTTGTCTTAGTAACTGTGTATCATTGCAGTGGAGAAAACTATTAGGTAATGTATAATACAAAAGCATTTGATAGAAGGTAAAAATATCTCCTTTGAGTAGCTATTTGAGGAAACCACATTTTGCAGCAATCATTGCGTGTTTAATACTGGAAAGATATTTTGAAAAAAAGGATGTTGACCCTCTTTCTAGTGACTAAAATTTGAAGTCCTCTGAGCAATGTCAGTATAATAATTTCCTGTTCACGTAACATGTTTGCACAACATAATGTTGCTGATAATGATAACTAGTCAA